TGTTAACGTATTGTAATTTCAGATTTTCCGTTTCTTCGAGTTTCATTGTGATTTCTGCTTGTTCTAGTTTGTCTACTGGTTTTCGAAAATCTAAATCGGGTTCTCGAATTGACGAAGGATGGGATGCTCTCTTTTTTATTGCTATTTTCCTTAATTGTGGTGTTAAGGTCATCATTAAGATTTCTGTCATCTCTGTGTTTTTATAGTCATGTGTATTTAATGAATATGCTTTTCGAACTAGTGTTTCGATTCGTACTGCTAATTGCTTGATGGTTTCGTTTGGTAATCTGCGAATTTCATTACATAAAACTCTTTGTTGTTGTTTGTTTCTTTCGGAGTCAAACATTTTTGAAAATTCTTGTGTAAACCTTTTCCAATTTGATTTTATTTCTATAGGCAATACTGAAAACCATTTTTGGGCTGCGCCATCTAGAGTTGTTTGTATTAACGCTGTGCGTCGATGTATCCAGTTTTGATGTAGTGGCGTATTAATTGGTTCAGGTCCTATATTTAAAATCAAATTTGCTGTGACTGCATTTAAATAGTCTTCTACAGAATATTCAGGGTCTGTTCCTGTGAATACCATTAAAGGTTTATTTGATGTTATTGATGATCCACCCATAAGGTATGGATTCATCGTCATTTGTAATGATTCTGCTGCATTTGGCATTTGAGAAAAATTTGAAAGTTGATTTCTTGTTATTTCGTGTTGTTGAAGATAATATGGGAGTGGTATTTCATTTTGCATTTGTGCTGGTTGGTACGAGTTTGCAATCATTGGGTTTTGTTGCTGAATTGGTTGAAAAGATTGTGTATTAATTGGGTTTTGTTGTTGAATTGGTTGTTGGTTTTGTGTATCTATTGGTTGTGGAGAAAAAATTCTATTATATGTATGTGGTTTCTGTATTCCTTGTCCACGATATTCTTGATTATAGGGTGTAAATATATCTGGTTGTAAGAAATCATCATCTGAGGATAAGTAATCCATTTGATAAGATGTTTGTTTTTTATTTTTATTTTGTTGAAAAAATGGATAGTTTTCACTACGATCCTGTGGAGGATGTAAATTTGTTTGGAAATTTACTGAATTAGGTGGTGCCATTGGGTTATCCCAGTTTCGAGATCTTGTATAATTACTAAAATTTTTTCGTGGTTGATAATTTGTTTTTGATGGATGTGTGTAATTATAATTATGGTCTGCAAAGTTGTTTCTGGTGAACGTTTTGCGTGTTTTTGGCGGTATTGTCATGGGTCTGTATGTTTGGTAATCCATGTGTGAATATTTTGGGGCAACCGAAGGTTTAACGGTTGATTGTAATGTTACCTGTGTTTATGAAGGATTTGTATTTCTTGGTGTTGTTAAGTTTGGACGTATTGGTGAAATACTTTGTTGTGTAGTTGTTGTGTGTACGATTTCTTCATTTATGAAGTGTGATGGTGTCTGGATATCTTGTTGAGTAAGATTCCTAGTTCCATTGAGGTTTTCATTGTGTATGACTGTAGAGTTTAAACTATTATTTTGCATATCGGGTAAAAATGTATTATAGTTTAATGGTGTTGCATCAATGGTTAATGGTATTACTCGTACATAATCTCTTACATAAGATATCGTACTTATTGCTTGACTTGAGATTGATTGTGGGAAGTTTATGGATGCGGGATGAGACCATTCGGGGTCCCAAACATAGTCTGATTGTTCTGTGATGGCAGTATCATCGTTTGAGTTTTGGGGTCTAAATTTTTTTCTTGCTTGTGAAATTAAATCAATATTATGTGTGAAATAATCTATTATGAACCATGCCAAGATTTTTTGTAAGTCGTGTTTTGTATGTTGTGAAACTTCATCTTTCGTGAAATTTTCTTTAATTATATTTAGAAAACTAGAGAGTAGTGTGATTTCATGTCGTACTCTTATATGTTTAGAAGTTTCTGTCGGTGAGACATTTGGTATCTGGATTTCGTTTTCTAATATCGAGATATAACTATATATTATCGCAAAAACTTCATTGGTGAATATGGAGTTTGCTCTTTGTGAGTTATGATATTGGATGCTTTTTATATATTCTGAGAATACTTTTGAGAATTCTAAATCAAGGTCGTCTGTTTGAATTACATATTTGCTGTGATTCTGGTTTAGTGAGCTGAATTCTATGGAGTAGATTCCGTATTGTTGTGTTAAGTTGCATATATCTTTCAAATAGTGATCGATAATTTGTCTTTTGATTTTTACATCTGGGAACTCTGTTTTACATGGACTGATTCCGGGTTCAAACAAATTTAAGAGTAAATTTTTGCAGAATATATGCTGTCCTCTATCAGTGGTTGCATCTACGATAAAGGGGAAAATATCATCATCATCTGGACTTTCTTCACCTGGGGTGTGCGTTGAGCTCATTTTTTCGTTCGATGACTGTTAATATGTAATTATCAATGTGTCTAATTGGTTGATTCCAATTGTATAAATGTACTGGTTTGTGTTTATACTGCTTTTTTATTCTTCTTTTTCCTCTTTTTGATGAATTTGAAGTTGTTTCTGAGTCAGAGAAATATAATTGATCGTGAATTGGGCAATTTTTATCTATTGATTCTTTTAGTTTATAAAGTTCGTCTAAACTGTTGGTTTCTGATTCTGAAAATGCGTTTCGATTTTTTGAAAATCTTTTTCGTGTTATTTGTCTTTGTTTAGTTATTATTTTTCTCATTAATGTTTGTCGTTTTGTTCTAATGTATCCAACTGTTTGTGTATGAGGTGTGATTACAAGGTCGTATTTTTTATTATCTATTTCACAATTGTGTAAAACGATTGTTTGTTTATTTCCTAGGTTTTTAAATGACATAAGGTTTAGGATGACGGATGCAAAAGGTTGTTAAATGATTTCTATTTGCTTAAACTGTTAGTCCTTACGATTTTTTTGTTAGCCTAACCTGGGTCTATTTGTTCAGGGTTGGGGAGAAAAGTATATCGATTCCGAAGAATGATTTTATACTTTCTCGTGGATAGTATAAGCTAAGGTGTTAACTTACTTAATCTTACTTAAGGGTAGTGATTGTGTTCAGGGTTGGAGAATAGTAAATCGATCCACAAGGTTCAGGTATAATTAGAACGCGAGTAGTTCGTTAGATACTATTTTAAACTTACTAAGTTTAAGATTTATCCTGGGTCTGGTAAGAGGGGGGATCAAGTGAAGGATGAATAACCGAAGTTCTTCACTGTTTATCCTAATTTGAATGATTAGTTTTGTTCAAAAATTTCTATTAGTCCTGGGTTTTTAGAAAGGGTTGGATAGTGAATCGACGTTTGAGGTCGTTAGACACTAGTTAAGTGGGTGGGGGAGAACAAAGTTGTTCTTTTTGATCCAAGGATAGGCCTTGATGATCAAGTTTTAAATTTAATTAAATAGAAAATGATTTAAGATCCAAGGATAAGCCTTGATGATCTGATTTTAAAATTAAGTGAATTTAAGTTTAAAATGTTTTAAATTTGCGTAAAGAATAGATTTAGTATTTTTATGATATTAGTGAGCTTATGAATGCTGTTATGTTTAGGCGATGAAGCTGGAACAACAGGATGATTTATAATTACTAACCGTTTATTGTCATGCTACTAATTTTTATTTTGATTTTTCAATAAATATTTTTCAAACATGTTTTGTATATTACTGCAGAATTTAGGAAAACGATCTGAGATCTTTTTATCAATCGTTATTGTATATTAATAATTCTGTTTAGCGCCTGAAATGATTCTGAAGATTGACTTCAAAATTTTATGTTTGCAAATGAAAATCTAAATTCATTGCTAGTAGTATTCTAAATACAAAAGTTTGTTCTGGCTTTTGCCGAACTATCATATAACTATATGGTAAGTTTCTGCTTTGTCGTATGTCGTCTCTGGTTCGAGGTCTTCTTCCAATTCCGGGTAGTTCTGTTATCGTTCGGAATATTGGCTCTGATCTATTGAGTCGTAGAGACATTTCGATTAAATTATTGTCGTATAACATTTTGTAAATGTTTTGTCTAAATTCTAATCTATTATTGGTTAATTCTAAGCTATTAAGGTCTTGTTCGAGACTTATGGTCGCACCAGATGAGTTAGGACCGATGGTTATAACTCATAGAGTAATTTCGGATAGGGTACACCGTCTGCTCGTCACGCTATCTTATTTTCGGCCGGATAGATTCGTGCAACTTCTTAGTCTAATACCGATCCTAATCTTACTCTTATACTATCTAGTCTCAGGTTGTTTAACTAGTCTCTGCTAGGCTCAATAGATCTAGGGTATACTGGTTTATTGCGGCTGCTGAAGTACTCGGGAGAGTTCAACTAATTTCTAAGTTAAATTCAAATCACTCTGGTGCTGAAATTACAAGTAATTTCAGCACTTACAAATAAGTGGATTGTTAGTTAGATGGATCATGATTGGTTAATATTAAATACTTTACATTGGTAAAATATCTAATTTATCCAATCATAAAATGTAGTTTAGATCAGGTTCCAGTTCCTTTTTTGAGATTATTTGAGATAATGGTCAAAATTTCTAAATTTACTACTTTGAAGTAGCAATGATTAGGAGAACCAAAGTTGTTTTAAATTATTGGATGGGCTTTTGAAAAATTCATAGACGTTTCGTGATTTGCAAAACCTTCATAATTTTCAAAACTTGTCACAAAACATGTATTGATATTCAAAAAAATCAAAAAATCTGTGCGCTGACAGGTTGTAGAATCTAGGATAAGAACTGATTTTTTATGGAACGTGTTCATGCGCTAACGTAGTGATGAACATTATCGCAATTAGATCATTCGAGAAGGTATGAAGGCACGTGCAATTAAAATATAGTTTTTTTTGTTTCTTCCCGCATCGAAGTTTGATGGATAAACATCGATTATAATGGATTTTAGTTGACCAAAATCAAATCTAGATAATCGATTATCGTGGCAAATTTAGACAATGTAATAGACTTTGAATGACTATGGTTGTATATGACCATGATATGACTCACCGTCAGCCCTCTGTCGTACTGAAAAAGAAACAGTTGAACAAATTAATTTGCGTGCCACACCATTGCTGGAGTCGAATAACAGAGTTGTATAAATTTAATTTGCGATTATGAGGTCAAATTAACTCCCACGAACTAAGAAACAATAAAAAAAATTAGCAAAGAGCATCTTAATATTTCAGATCTCCTTGCTGAAAGTCACTTACGGCTTGAAAAATCATAATTAGAACAAACGACAAGTAACACATCTTTGTTGGCTTCGCAAATTTAAATTTTTGCTGAGAAAATGTAATTTTAAAGAATAAAATGCGATATTTTAAAGTTTTTCAGTTTTGTCAACATTAACACAAATTCGAACATTCTTATATATTTCTAAATGTCTCTGTTGTTTGATGGATCGAATCTCCGTGGAATAGGGGGGAGGGGGTGGTTGTTAAAGAGGAAGGGCTTACATCGTCATCATTGGGTGCGCAGTACTGTTTGGATGGTTCGAGACAGTATGACTTCTGCTGTACAATCTCGTTGCAGTAGTATCTGTTCAGGATGGTGAGGAGAGTGCGTCTGTCGTGGTCGTCAGTCACTCTTCCGCCGTAGTTGCACTCCCCTGCCAGGTAAGTTAAAGCTTCGAAAGGGATTTCCTACAACACAAATAACACAAATGGCAATAATTAATATCATTCACATATTTCACAAAATTATATTATGTAGCTACAGAATAAGCCCACGTTATTTAACCTTGTTCAAAGAAGCAATAAAAGTAGGTTCTTTTTATCTAAAATTTGTTTGAATTCAATTCAACAAATTGAACCAGGTTAACTGAACGAAAAAACTCAGAAACCGAAAAAGTTGAAGCAAAAATCACATTAAAGCTCTTTGAATTTCGAGAAGTTTTTATGATTGACACTTTAATATGAAAACAACACCTTGTATAGAAAATCAAACTAATAGATATTTCCTTAGTTTGCTGGAATTTCAAGACATTCAAATCCATTTTTGAGACAAGAAGTTTATTCACGTTTTTCTTTACTTTTACATTTTTGCTGTTCGATAGTGGAGTTTGCCTTCAAGGAGGAACTGAACTTAAAAAGCAATCAGTAGTCAAACTGCTGAAAATCAAAATTGAGCGAGAACAACTTTTAAGCCTAAAAAACCATCATAACCTAATTAAGTGAATATCGCTCCGTTATTTTACTCTCGATTAAATATTTGTTTTAAAATGGTAAAATAATCTTAACGTCTTTTTTGACATCAGAAGCACTGACAGCCCGGGTTGAGCTCACAATGAAATTTAGCGATAAGCAAGTGAAAAAAAGCGATCGCCATCGATGAATTATCGATGTTCATTACCACAGTAGCAAACTTTATCGATAAATTATCGCTAATTTGGCTTATTTTCAGCGATGAAACAGCGATGAATAACCTATCAAAATGAGAAAAAATTATGCTCTACCAGGGTTTCAATCCCCTAACCTTCAGCTTTATCGACAATTATGCTACCTCTGCGCTATCGATCCTTCAAAACTTCTAAAGCTAAAAGGCTCATCAGCTAAAACTCTCATTTGAAAGCTACTAGAATGAGTTAAAACTTCTTAAGTTTCAGCGATGATTTTCTACGGATTTATTTATGCAACAATCTCCCAAATAAACATGAATCAGTGCTGGAAAAAAACGATCACTGGGATACTACAGAAAAAGCGATAATTAACAACAGCTAAGCAAGTGAAAAATAAAGATTAGTTGTTGAAAAGAGCATCGTTTTAGTTTTTTTTCTACTTTTTCAATATTTTACTTGGTCAGAAAACTGCCTTAAGACATAGTTTTTAGCATTGAATGAAAGTTTTAAAAATCGAATTAAAGAAAAAAAAAGTTAACACGATTCAATTCAAAGAACCGACAAATTTCGTCATTTGTTTTTGATAGCGTGGTAGTCTTGTTTGTTTTTCAATCGCATTGTCGCTATTTAATATCTGGAAATCCTAATTTGCGTACTTTTCAGCAAATGAGTATTATTTGAAATGAACAAGAAACAAAAATCAAACCAGGAAAAATCAAACTTGGGCGTGCACTACCATGAACTTACTTTCATTAAATTAAAAAGCTAAAAAAACCACATCCCCAAAACAATCTTTTTACTCCAAAAATAAAACTGGTCTGTCAAAAAACAGCATTTGAAAAAATCTGATTGAAGAACGTAACTTGCCTTGCAAATTTTAATGCATTTGAACTAAGGAATTAATACTTCAATCTGCAGCGGATTCAGGGAATGCAAACGATGAAAATTTTTATCAAAAGTACGAAATTATAGAATTTAGCGTAACTATGACGACATTCTAGGCGTTTTTTATTGTTGTTGGGTATTTTTCTTTTAAATTAATTTTGACCTTTATATTTTCTTTTTTGACGGAAATTTTAATCCAGTCCAAAAAATGTTAACAAGATGTTTCAACAGTGAGGTTCAGAGTTACCAAAGTTGCCAGATTATGATAATCAACTTGCAAATCAATATTCCATATTGAAGCGTAAGTGGCCCAAGTTAAATCACTTTTACTCAATTCTAGACCCGGATTTTCTAGTTGTTCCGACTTTCGTAACGCAAATAACGGAAAATTTGAGCTCGGGGTGGTTTTTTTTTCGACAAATTTCGATTTTTTAACTAGCCGCTTTTGACAACGTTTTTTAAAAGTCATTAAAAAACTTTGTTGCCCTGAGCTTAATTTTGAAAAGTTATAGGGGATTACAGATTGCCATTTTGGCCAGACAATTAACGAGCGATATATTTCGCGCTATTAACTCGTAAGCGAGATCTAATCCGTCTTAGAAATTGTTCCAAGTTCGTTCAAAGAAACATATATGCCACAATGGATTTGTTTAAAGAATAAAAAAACTGTATCACTTTCTACTTATTACGACGTGTGGGGGATGTTTCTACAAAAAATCTATTTTATTTTTTATGAAAAAAAAATTAATTTTATATCATTACATTTGATTTTTTCATGTTAACACTGCTCCATAGACCTTAAAAGGCAGTTGGATTATTCAGGGCTTCGCCCTGATACGAGCAGTCTTGTTTTTTTAGCTATTACTATACGCAAAATTCACATAACGTGCTGGGGATAAATTGGAGAAGAAAATCAACCTGGCAGTTTTTTTATTAAAAAATTTTTCAAATCAAAAATAAGAGCAATCGAAATAGTTAGAGCTTTATCCAGATACAAATCAATCTTGTGTGGCCTGCATCAAAATTAAGAAATCAAATATGATAAATATAGCCAAAAGACAAATGGAATCATTTCAATGGATGCAAAGTAGCCGAAAAAAGAATTGATTTTAAGAAAAGGTTATTTTTGCAGTTTGAAAGACAACATTTTATGGCTGTTTCGAAGAAAATTTGTTAAGATAACTGTATTAATAATCCGCTGGGAAAAAAAAACCTTTGAAACCAAAATTAGTTCCCGTTTTTTTTGCACTTTTTACATTTTTGCAAGTGAAGAACGCAATTTGTCTTCCATTTAACAAGTGAATGTGGTTTGAACTTAACAAGAAACGAAAAGCCAAACCGCAAAAACCAATCAAAAATGACGTGAAAAAAAAATTTCAAAAAATGTTTTAAAAAAATCAAAAAAGACAACGACCTATATAAGTGTCATCAGTACGTTCATTTACACTTGAAAATGACTTCTCCCTGATAGAAAAAGAAACAAAAAAGCAAAAACTAAATGATTAAACTTTTTTGCGGTTTCCAGTTATTCAATATTTTTCCTAATACCCTTTTTAGGTAACACGATCAAACTACTGGGCAATCAAATACAACTATTGCATGATATGTGACCTCATATTGGTTGAGGAACATGGACAACTGTTGTACACTGATTTTCAAGTCTGTCTCGAATAACCTATCAAAATGAGAATAAATTATGCTCTACCAGGGGTTCAATCCCCTAACCTTCAGCTTTATTGGCATTTATGCTACCTCTGCGCTATCGATCCTTCAAAAATTTAAAAGCTAAAGGGCTCATCAGCTAAAACTCTCATTTAAAAGCTAGTAGAATGAGTTAAAATTTCTTAAGTTTTAGCGATGATTTTCTACGGAATCTTTACTGAAATAGCTTCAAAAAATTGCAGAATGTTTTATGCAACAATTTCTCAAATATACGTGAATCAGTGCTGAAAAATAGCGATCACTGGGATATTACAGAAAAAGCGATATTTAACAACAGCAAAGCAAGTGAAAAACAAAGATTAATTGATGAAAAAAGCGCATCGTTTTAGTTTTTTTTTCTACTTTTTCAATATTTTACTTCCTGAAAACTGCCTTAAGACATAGTTTTTAGCATTGAATGGAAGTTTTAAAAATCGAATTAAAGAAAAAAAAAGTTAATACGATTCAATTCAAAGAACCGACAAATTTCGTCATTTGTTTTTGATAGCGTGGTAATCTTGTTTGTATTTCAATCGCATTGTCGCTATTTAATATCTGGAAATCCTAATTTGCGTTTTTTTCAGCGAATGAGTATTATTTGAATTGAACAAGAAACAAAAATCAAACCCGGAAAAATCAAATTTGGGCGTGCACTACCATGAATTTACTTTCATTAAATTAAAAAGCTAAAAAAACCACATCCCCAAAACAATCTTTTTACTCCAAAAATAAAACTGGTCTGTCAAAACACAGCATTTGAAAAAAATTTGATTGAAGAACGTAACTTGCCTTGCAAATTTTAATGCATTTGAACTAAGGAATTAATACTTCAATCTGCAGCGGATTCAGGGAATGCAATCGATGAAAATTTTTCTCAAAAGTACGAAGTTATAGAATTTAGCGTAACTGTGCCGACATTCTAGTTGTTTTTTTTATTGTTGTTGGGTATTTTTCTTTTTAATTAATTTTGACATTTATATATTTTCTTTTTTGACGGAAATTTTAATCCAGTCCAAAAAATGTTAACAAGATGTTTCAACAGTTAGGTTCAGAGTTACCAAAGTTGCCAGATTATGATAATCAACATGCAAAACAATATTCCATATTGAAGCGTAAGTGGCCCAAGTTAAACCACTTTTACATAAATCGAGACCCGGTTTTTCTAGTTGTTCCGACTTTCGTAACGCAAGTAACGGAATATTTGTGCTCGGGGTGGGTTTTTTTTCTTCAGACAAATTTCGACTTTTTAACTAGCGTTTTTTGACGATGTTTTTTAAAAACCAATAAAAAAATTTTGTTGCCCTGAGTTTAACTTTGAAAAGTTAAAGGTGTTTAAAGACTGCCATTTTGGCCAGACAATTAACGAGCGATATATTTCGCGCTATTAACTCGTAAGCGAGATCTAATCCGTCCTAGAAATTGTTCCAAATTGGTTCAAAGAAGCTTATATGCCACAATTGATTTGTTAAAAGAAGTAAACTGTATCACTTTCTACTTATTACGACGTGTGGGGGATGTTTTTACAAAAAGCCTTTTTTTTCTATGAAAAACTTTTAATTTTTTTTTTCATTACATTTGAATTTTTCAACTTATTACTGCGCCATAGAACTTAAAAGGCAGTCAGAACATTCAGAGCTTCGCCCTGATACGAGCAGTCTTGTTTTTTATTTATTACTAGACGCAAAATTCACATAACGTGCTGGGGATGAAATGGAGAAGAAAATCAACCTGGCAGTTTTTTTATTAAAAACTTTTTCAAATCAAAAACAAGAGCACTAGAAATAGTTAGAGCTTTATCCAGATACAAATCAATCTTGTGTGGCCTGCATCAAAATTAAGAAATCAAATATGATAAATATAGCCAAAAGACAAATGGAATCATTTCAATGGATGCAAAGTAGCCGAAAAAAACTGACTTTAGGAAAAGGTTATTTTTGCAGTTTGAAAGACAACATTTTATGGCTGTTTTGAAGAAACTTTGTTAAGATAACTGTATTAAGAATCCGCTGGGAAAATCAAAAAGAAAACTTTCGAAACCAAAAATAGTTCCCTTTTTTGCACTATTTACATTTTTGCAAGTGAAAAACGCAATTTGTCTTCCATTTAACAAGTGAATATGGTTTGAACTTGACAAGAAACGAAAAGCCAAACCGCAAAAACCAATCAAAAATGACGTGAAAAAAATATTTCAAAAAATGTTTCTTTAAAAAAATCAAAAAAGACAACGACCTATATAAGTGTCATCACTACGTTCATTTATACTTGAAAATGACTTCTCCCTGATAGAAAAAAAAACAAAAAAGCAAAAACTAAATGATTAAACTTTTTTGCGGTTTCCAGTTATTCAATATTTTTCCTTATACCCCTTTTAGGTAACACGATCAAACTACTGGGCAATCAAATACAAATATTGCATGATATGTGACCTCATATTGGTTGAGGAACATGGACAACTGTTGTACACTGATCCTCAAGTCTGTCTCGTTGAACTCGTATGGAATATTCCATCCGAGAGGTCCGAACTTCCTCCTCTCCTGAAGTAATGCGTGGAAGAAACAGAGACCGAACAGCATCTTCTTGAACACTTTCTGAAATAAAAGTCAATCACGATTTCAAAATTTGAGAAGACAATTATAAACCAAACACACATCAATATATGGAGTATCGAAAATCAAGTTCAAAACTTTTAGTTAGCCGTTGTAAGAAACTCTACAAAAAAGTAAGATCAATTTAAATGCATGTATTTTTTTGAAGGGATGTTCATAAATTGTGGTCTGTTTTAAACACACACCTGAAAAACTCAATTTCTAGCTTTAGACTGCCTCAAAATGTGACCAAGGAAGTTTTGGAAAGGTCAAATACAACTTCTAATTTTTCAGAAGTTGTCTTTGCCCTTTCCAAAACTATCTTGGTCACATTTTGAGGCAGACTAAAGCTAGAAATTGCGTTTGGAACAGGTGTGTTCCATTTTAAAAATTAGTATTTTTTAGCAAATTAGCAAAAATTTTATGGTTAAACTACTTAAACTGGATGTTGTAGACTAATATAGCACGCTGTCATTGGTATGTTAGTGTGTCTTTTTTCTGAAGACTAGCTAATGCCTTAAAGATGAATACAATTTGACAAGAAATCAGCAGGATTGGTCAAAAGTTTCGAAACATTTATAAAATGAGAACTTACAATCTGTTTGTTTCCGGAAAAGAACTCGGGGTCGTTGATCGGGTCCGAGATGTAGGACCTCAGGATGTTAGCCTTTATGCCTCTGGGGGGTTCATTGGTCATCTTCACCCCATTCTGCAATACTGAAACTGGGAAGTGGGGGGAGGGGTAACTGGTGAGCCAGAGGCGGAAGTCGGGGTGCACTTGCTCCGGGTTGACCTCCTGAAAAATCATTGAAAGGTAACAGTAAAAGAAAAAACTAACACGTTTACTTCCAAAAATGAGAAAATGGTGCCAAAACTATTTTTTGACTACTTATTTTTTAAAAATTTGGCGGTATGCACTGAGTTTGTCGGTTAGATTTCCAGCGGCAAACTAAAGAAAGAAACTAAGGGTATTACAAACTAAGTATAACTTTTTAATTTTGCTCCCGCCTTAAGGTATGAATTTAAAAATAACAAGATCAGACCTTCAATTTTTAAAGAAAAAGATTGTATTTTGCAAAAGATCTGTGCTTACATTGCCGTCAATGTCAACTTCCACAACAGCTTGTCGCTCTGCTTTCAATTTACCCTAAAATAAAACAACGGTATAATTATTTCAAGTATGACAGATTATCTAATTTTAATTTACTTCGTTTTCTCATTACAAAAAAAAACCGTGAGAAGTTGAATTGAGAAGTTAAAGTCCTACCCTCTGCTGGCAAGTTTTTGTTGCGACTTGTCTTGTTGCAAGTTGTATTTTGTTGCGAGCTGCGGCATTACAATTTTTATAATATGGTGAGTTTAGCACCGCCAAAAATTATAACTTTTCGAAATAATTTAACACGATTGACTGGATTTTAGCGCCCCTTGGATTTGACATTTGGACAAAAATTGATAACTAATCATCGAACGAAGAGAAATTGAGACCCAACCAAAAGATGGATCTTATAGCTCCCCCTTTCTTTCCTTCGCGCAAAAGGGAAAAACTTGTTTCACAATGTACCAAATTCACGTTTGCAGAATCTTTAATATAGTTCATTATAGCTATTTATGGGGATGCAAAGACTGAACCAGGTCCCATAGAAGGGGGAAGATAATAATGAACAAAATCCGAAAAATGCAGTGGAATTTTACCAAGAACGAGTTGAATTCTATAGGGTACCAAAAGAACCATACCCACCTCGCATATCTTTTCCAGGGTGCCCATCCAAGACACTGCCACGTGACAGTTCTGCAGTACAACCCATATGCCCTCCTTGATCCCTCTCTCAATCATGTTCACTGCAATGGGCCCTTGACCTTGACCCAGAGAGAGCGTGATCATTTTCGCTCCCCCGAATCCCTGGAATTATAAGAAATGAAAAGTGCAAAATATTTATCATTTTTTCAAAACTGCAAAAAATGACCGCAAAAAAATTTTGATCAAAGTGTGACCTAAATTTTCATTCAAGATTTTTGGCTCAACCCGAAGCCCTGATTGGAAACAATTGGTGCATTATTACTCTCCATTACGTTATTGATCCGAGTAACAATGAGTATGGGAGAAATTTGATTCTGCTGTTTTTTTCTCTACCAAATCCATGTACCACAAACACATGTCGTATGAGTGATTTATCAAATTGTGATGAAGATGCAGACCTAAGGTTTCCTAGAAGGGTTTTATAGGTATTTCGCCCTTTATTTCTGTACGGCAAACTGTTTTCTCAAAAGCAAGCCAACAGTGAAGCTTCTTGAGTTTTGCCGCATTTTTTGGAGAGGGCTCCTATTTTCTTAAGCTGTGCGCCATGCAAAACTTTTCAAGCTCGGTCAACCAATATACTTATTGTAACTTATTTAGCAGGAGAAACAGGACCGAAAATGGTCTGATTACTCTACTTTTTGCTTTTCAATATATTTTGATGCTTACATGACGAGAAAGGCGTCACAAAAAACGGAAAAACTTTAACAAACTAACTCGTTCCTCTTTCATTTGTAAATCATTTTGAAATTCTTGGTCAAAATTGTGTTTTTTAATGAAAATCTTTGTAATAGTTAGCGTGACCCTGTGTGAGATATGAAAAAAAAACGAAAAAATGTTAAAATGTTAAATTTTAATTGGAACACCATACAAAATTTAAGGCACAGCAATGCCTTTGATAAAGGTTTCTGCAGAGTATCAAACAATTCATGAATTTTGGAAGCTTGGGAGAAATTATGATTTTTCGGAAACATTCAGAGACAAAATATTTACGACTGAATTATCAGTTTTGGCCGAAAATTTGAAAACTTGTCATGCTTCTAAAACATCATGTCAATTTGAAATGTTTTGATTTGAAATATTATCAAGATAGTTTTTGTCAAAATGAGGTTAAACTGTGTGTTTTTAGGGAGCTCAAAGTTGTGTGTGTATGCCTGCGGATCCAGAGACAAATATTCAAAAATGGCAAATTTTTTGTAGGTTGAATCCTCTTACCAAATTGTTTCGTAAGTGATGAAGATATACCTTGTAAGGTAAACTAGCTTGACACATAAAACGTATGGCAGAAGCCAATGCAAGCGGTTATAGGAAGTTTTGTAATTATTTGGAAAATCCCCATTTTGTAAGTATTTGGGGGAGCGGTGGTGAAGTGGTTACGTCTCCGCCTCTCGATCGAAAGGTCGGAAGTTCGACGCCCACCATAATCCGTGCTCGTTGCTTGAGGGTGAAACAACATTACCCAGCCCAGAAAAATCACCAAAAAATTGCATGTAGTTCTTAAACAGGGGCACAACAGCGGTAGTTTTGTATTACTAATTGTTTAAAGATTCGCAAAATTTTCTGAACCGCAAAGATTTTGTTGTGGAATCCACAAATTTTGCTACTTGAGCTTTTGGAGCTTCAATATGCGCTAGAATTTTTTCTTTTGATTCCAAAACAGTAAGAAGATAATGCAAAAACATCCTTGTTGCAGATTCCATGTCAAACTTTTGTTCAACCTTGACGCAGTATCCACAAAAAAATTGAAAACAAGCAAATTTGCTTCTCAATGTTGCTTTGAAGGAAATAATTGGTCAAAATTGTCTCGACATATAGCAGCTTTGCTTCCACTTCATCCCGGCACAAAAAGTTCACTTTTTTTCTTACGCTAATTTTAAATTATTCAAACAGCTAGATAGCAATTGGCACCCGCACCTAATTATTGATATATTATATTTATAATCGTACTTTTAGCAAAATTATAATTAATTATAAGCGCCAATTTTAGATGTTTAAACGATTTATAATCCATTATAATGAACATTTTGGTGACAGTTTAATAAATTATAATTTCTTATAATCTCTTATAATTTATTATAAGTTAGTATAATAGATTATAAACCTGTTTTCTATCAAAGTATTATTTTACAAAAAAAATGAAATATAATGGATTATAATTTAGCTATTCTGCATGAAAACACAGTAAAATTTTATCGACTTTTTTAGGTCGACCAAATTGATTTTCGAGGTCTCCCAAAGCACTTAAGAGACCCTGTTTTGGCCAAAACTTGTGCGCCGCAGGCAAACTTTTGAAGAAACAGGCCAAAAACGGATTTCTTAAGGCATTCGGTTTTTTTTGGCACGCGGTCCCCCTCGAAATTGAATAGAAAAGGATTATAATCGATTAAAGTTGATTATAATTCAATAAAAATTCTTGAAATAATTTTTTCAAAAAATAATCGATTATAATTTTTTTTTGTTTCAAAAAATAGTAACATTATAATCCATTTTTAATCAACTATAATCTCCTTTTTTTGAAATTTATGAAGACTGACAATAAAAAACTATTATAATCTATTATTTTCTCTTTTTACTGAGTGCGGGCAGGTTTAGATTGAAATGAGTTTGAAATTGTTTTTTCGAAGCTCTGTTTTTAGCTATTTCCTATGACAAAATTATTCAATTTTCGTAGAAGTTAAAAATTTCTTTAAGAGCTTAACATACCATATCTTCAGCAAACTTCAGCAAAGCCACCATTGGATCGGCTCCGGGAGACAACACAAATATAATGGGCGCAGTACACGAACTATCCGCAAAAGTCTTCGCAAGATCAAACGGCGGTGGCTCCACAAATCGACGCCCGATTTTCTCCGATACGAATTCTTGCAGTGCTGGGATTATTTTGTCCGGTCGAATGCACCGCATGATTAGCATGCGTTGGAAGCTGCCCGTCTTGTCCTGCCATTCTCCAGGGAAATTTTGGTGGTGAGGCTCCTGAAAAAAAATCATTTGGGTTTGTAACGGTTGAAATTATGGTTTTAACAACTGCTAATTAAATATTTGAAAAATTTTTGTTTAATTTCTCAATTCGTATTAAAAAACTAAGCCATTGTAAAATCTTTTTATGCACATTTTTTTTGTGTATATATTTATGAACGATAATTAATTGGAGTATTACTATCTTAAAATAGTCAATTTATATTTAGATGATAATAGTTACTAACCGGACTGTCGTAAACCATTTTCCAGTAGTCCTTTTGGGTCAAAAACTTCTTTCTCAAATCAGTGAACACAGGAAGTTCATCCAGTCTACATATCTCATCCCATGCTTTGGAGGGGAGCCATGCTGTGGGGTTGGGGTGGGGGTTGTCTAGGCCGATGCCTCCAGTTAGCAGAAATCGCCATTCGTCTTCATCTATTTCGCCCTTTGTGCGTAAGACGTTCACACAGAGAAGAAAAGAGAACAGTAGCTGAAAAACATACAAATTCATAATTACCTCTGAAAACTGCATTGAAGAAGATTATAGACTGATTTCTTAATATTGTTTTATTGAATTTAATTTTAAAGTTCGACGAAAAACTTTCATATTTATGCACTTCGCAGAGAAAAAAAACTTAAAGTTGAATCTCAAAAAATTGAAATTTTGAAAAAAAAACTTAAAAAAATGAATTTTTACATTTTTTTGTGTCATAAATGAATTACTTTCTCATACATTAAAGATAAAACAAAAATTGGTAATGTTTTGAAGAAAAACGAAAAAAAAAAATTTAAATGAAAATCAAATGTTTTATGAAATTTTCTTTTATTTTTTACATCGAAAAGCTAATGAAAAGTTAGACGAACCTTGTCTTTTTCAAAGAGTGAGCGACACACATTACAGTAGAGGAGATACTGGAAATAGTGCTGCAGATTCTCCAGTCTCTTCTCTAATTGGTCGGACTTCTCTGAGTTGTCGATGGCCATCGTGAACAGATTAATGAACCAGGCGAGAGAGTATTGGTACATGGGCTCAATGTTGGCCAGGTCGGCGATCGAGAAAAAGAGAATGCTCGAGTAGGAAGCTAAACAGAAGTTATAGTTTTATACATTGGTTGGCTTATTTTGAGTATTTTCTAAATGTCTTTCCTTTCAATTTAATTTAGTTATAATTGTGGTTTCAGCGAATCGCAGAGGACCTATGAAAGTCTGTCAGAACTGTTTAAGCATAGTCCGTTTTAATCAGGGGCGGATTTAGGGGGGGGGGCGGACGCTTTTTCCTCAAGGATTCAACCCCCTGCCGACCCAAAGGGTCCCCCCTTTGGTACGTTTTAGGAAATCCATTTTTGGCCAATCGACCCTAAAATTTTTCTAAAGGCGCCTTTGGCGCCAAGATATACTAATTTTGACGGGGGAGCGCGTGCCGAAATTTTTTTGAAAATCCACCAACCCATCCCCCTCGAGAAAATCCTAGATACGCCCCTGGTTTTAATTATTCCCTGTTTCATCATATTCCAAATAGAGTTAATTTGTTGCGAAGCTCTTTTTTGCATCGTTTTTTGCGTCTAGATTTTATACGTGGTACCACTATAGCAGCCGAAATTGGTCAGGCTGTGGCAGACCTGAAGCTAGAGGTCAAGTGAGAACTCGTCCTCAGATACTATCATTCCCATGGCAGGGGATCGAAATTGAAATTTAAAAAAGAATAGGTTGTTTTTGTGAATCCACCCATCGCTCTGAGAAATTTTCAGATTCACTGACCGATCTGATTTATTCAAGTGTCCTTCAAGTTACCAGCCAACCTCAAGCTAACAAACTATATGTTTTTTTCAGGCTAGATTTTTTCAAAGTTGTGTGGAAGGGTTAAGCTGGAAAAACAATTTTCGACATTCAACTTAAGATTATGGTCTTTTTTCCAAAGTAAGCAAAAAAGACCAACCACATGTTCAATCTGTTACGCCGGTAAAATTTTTTTTGTTACCGTCTAGTTTATTTGTATTATTATAATATTATGAAAACACAGCAAGAATTTTTTTCAGTTGGAGTATATTCCATTCTGGTCTCGTCGATCTTTGGTCTTCTTTATCGAACGTATTGTCAACGGCAAGTTAGGTCTATCGGTTTTTTTTCGAAACCTTTGAAGCTGTGACTCTTATAACCCGATCAGAAAAAAACGATTACATCATAATCACAGCATAGTTACATAATGAGTGTGTATAACCTATAGGCGTGTATCCCATTCTGGTCTCGTCTATCTTGATCTCGGTGTCCTCAGCCACCACCTGCTTCTCAGTGATGTCATTCGCCACCTCTTTGGACGAAGACAGGATCTGGATGGCTGTCTCGTCCTCCAAGATGTTACCCTCTGAAGACGACAAAACTTCCAGGATCTTGTCCTCTATCTCCTTCAGTTGTCTGGAAACAAAATGCCAAATACAATTTATGAAATTTCGTTTACGGCATATTATGATGATTACAAGATACGATTAAAATTGATCTAACCTCTTTCAAAGGGAAAAAATTAAATCAGTTTTTTTGAATTGTCCTAAGAAAATGATAAACATGGTTTAAACAATTTTTCCCCTCTTAAATTAAGTGACACGTTTTGCCCCACACACATTTCGCCCCTACTGTTTTGCACACAAAGTGGCGTAAAAAATGAGGGGCAAAATGTGTGAGGGGCGAAAGGTGCTGCACTCGATAACATATTTTTCTTAAGCCATGGTTGGAGTTTTGCTTTAAGCCTGAAAGAAACAATTTCGGTCAATAAACACACGTTAATTTTCCGTCGATTTCAAACTCAAAAAATTATCACGTTCAATTTTTTTAATGTAAAAAAATTCAAGAAAAAGAGTGTGAGCGATATTCGTACCGTTTGTTGCTCGCTGTCTGCAGAATGAGTTGATTCTTCTCTTCTTCGAGTTCTGGCCTCTCTCTTGCAACCACAATTCCCAACAGCTGGTCTTGCAGACCCTCAGGTGTGATCATAAAGTTCAACAGCGTCACCTGAAATGAGCAAATAATATCAAATATATAGCAACAGAAAGTATTAGAGAACTCTAGATCCCCGGTTTGACCTCCATAGACCAAAAACGCCAATCATACAATTCCATAAACTATGTCTATGAAAAAATACTAGTCATACAAATTTCATACGTTTTTAAAAAGTGTTGTCATCGAAATTTCAAAGAATTTTTTCTTGTTTTGGCATGAAAGTCGGTATATCATATTAAACATAAAAGAAAATTTTTCTGTCAAAAAAATGCTAAGCTTACAATTTCCATACATGGAATTTGCATGACTAGCATTTTTTGACGAAGACAACTAAATTTTTTCCAAGTAATTTTGAAAATGCCCCAAAAAATTTGTTGTTTTTTTTAACCGCAAATCGAATTTTGTACTCAAACAAGCATTTCCCAAAAAAACAATTGCATTCGTAGTGCTGGATGTAACGTAGTCCTGGATACACAAAAATGGGATTCTTTTCCGTTTCTCTGGATAACTTCTTTCAAAATCGCTTAAAACTCCTATTTCTTTTGTATGGTATTTCTATATATGCCTTGATAAAGGTCTGATAAGTTAAAAATTCAAACTTTAAAATAATAATCGCTGAAAAGTTTTGCCAAAATTTAAAAGTTTGATGCCTTTGGTATATTATTTGTGTAAGAAAACTCTGACATAATTCAGGTCGTTTCCAATGCATTCTAAATTCAAGACGATCAAATCTCTGGTGACTCTTGTTTTGAGTAAAGTATGGTTTTTGCCACTTGTGTTCGGTCACGAATACATCCAAAAAAATTTGAGAAATTAAATTTAAAATTTTTTTTTTGTTTTATGGGAAAACGCTAGTCATACAATTTCCATATATGAAAAATCACTAATCATAAACCTTTTATGCAATTTTCTGTGCTTATGGAATTGCATGAAAAGTGTATGATTCGCATTTTTTCATATATGAAGGTTGTCTGATTAGCATTTTTGGTCAATCCGGGTCAGGATACTAAGCACAACAGCCATGAAAACCGATTTTATTGGTTATTAGATCCTAAATGGCAGTTTGAAAAGACGATAGAGTTTTTTCACGATACAACCTTCACAAACCAATTTTTGCGATGAAAATCCAATTCGTGTAAGAAATTAAAGCATAAGAAAATAACTTGATTGTTTCCAGAACATTATTAATGTAAGCGCACCCTAAACGGCGTGTCGGGCAAATAGTGCGGGTTCCTCAAACTATTCAAACTTTGTGGTCTAGAAAAAACGAGACATGTTTTAGATACAAACCCACCTTAACCGAAGTTTCTGGAAGGTAGTGGGGATTCCTCAAATTATTCAAAATTTGTGGTCTAGAAAAAAACGAGACATGTTTTAGATACAAACCCACCTTAACCGAAGTTTCTGGAAGGTAGTGAGGATTCCTCAAATTATTCAAATTTTGTAGTCTAGAAAAAAACGAGACATGTTTTAGATACAAACCCACCTTAACCGAAGTTTCTGGAAGGTAGTGGGGATTCCTCAAATTATTCAAAATTTGTGGTCTAGAAAAAAACGAGACATGTTTCAGATACAAACCCACCTTAACCGAAGTTTCTGGAAGGTAGTGGGGATTCCTCAAATTATTCAAAATTTGTGGTCTAGAAAAAAACGAGACATGTTTTAGATACAAACCCACCTTAACCGAAGTTTCTGGAAGGTAGTGGAGATTCCTCAAATTATTCAAAATTTGTGGTCTAGAAAAAAACGAGACATGTTTTAGATACAAACCCACCTTAACCGAAGTTTCTGGAAGGTAGTGGGGATTCCTCAAATTATTCAAAATTTGTAATCTAGAAAAAAACGAGACATGTTTTAGATACAAACCCACCTTAACCGAAGTTTCTGGAAGGTAGTGGGGATTCCTCAAATTATTCAAAATTTGTGGTCTAGAAAAAAACGAGACATGTTTTAGATACAAACCCACCTTAACCGAAGTTTCTAGAAGGTAGTGGGGATTCCTCAAATTATTCAAAATTTGTGGTCTAGAAAAAAACGAGACATGTTTTAGATACAAACCCACCATAACCGAAGTTTCTGGAAGGGAGTGGGGATTCCTCAAATTATTCAAACTTTGTGGTCTAGAAAAAACGAGACATGTTTTAGATACAAACCCACCTTAACCGAAGTTTCTGGAAGGTAGTGGGGATTCCTCAAATTATTCAAAATTTGTGGTCTAGAAAAAAACGAGACATGTTTTAGATACAAACCCACCTTAACCGAAGTTTCTGGAAGGTAGTGGGGGTTCCTCAAACTATTCAAAATTTGTGGTCTAGAAAAAAACGAGACATGTTTTAGATACAAACCCACCTTAACCGAAGTTTCTGGAATGTAGTGGGGATTCCTCAAATTATTCAAATTTTGTGGTCTAGAAAAAAACGAGACATGTTTTAGATACAAACCCACCTTAACCGAGGTTTCTGGAAGGTAGTGGAGATTCCTCAAATTATTCAAAATTTATGGTCTAGAAAAAAACGAGACATGTTTTAGATACAAACCCACCTTAACCGAAGTTTCTGGAAGGTAGTGGGGATTCCTCAAATTATTCAAAATTTGTGGTCTAGAAAAAAACGAGACATGTTTTAGATACAAACCCACCTTAACCGAAGTTTCTGGAAGGTAGTGGGGATTCCTCAAATTATTCAAAATTTGTGGTCTAGAAAAAAACGAGACATGTTTTAGATACAAACCCACCTTAACCGAAGTTTCTGGAAGGTAGTGGGGATTCCTCAAATTATTCAAAATTTGTGGTCTAGGAAAAAACGAGACATGTTTTAGATACAAACCCACCTTAACCGAAGTTTCTGGAAGGTAGTGGGGATTCCTCAAATTATTCAAAATTTGTGGTCTAGAAAAAAAACATGTTTTAGATACAAACCCACCTTAACCGAAGTTTCTGGAAGGTAGTGGGGATTCCTCAAATTATTCAAAATTTGTGGTCTAGAAAAAAACGAGACATGTTTTAGATACAAACCCACCTTAACCGAAGTTTCTGGAAGGTAGTGGGGGTTCCTCAAATTATTCAAAATTTGTGGTCTAGAAAAAAACGAGACATGTTTTAGATACAAACCCACCTTAACCGAAGTTTCTGGAAGGTAGTGGGGATTCCTCAAATTATTCAAAATTTGTGGTCTAGAAAAAAACGAGACATGTTTTAGATACAAACCCACCTTAAACGAAGTTTCTGGAAGGTAGTGGGGATTCTTCAAATTATTCAAAATTTGTGTTCTAGAAAAAACGAGACATGTTTTAGATACAAACCCACCTTAACCGAAGTTTCTGGAAGGTAGTGGGGATTCCTCAAATTATTCAAAATTTGTGGTCTAGAAAAAAACGAGACATGTTTTAGATACAAACCCACCTTAACCGAAGTTTCTGGAAGGTAGTGGGGATTCCTCAACTTATTCAAATTTTGTGGTCTAGAAAAAAACGAGACATGTTTTAGATACAAACCGACCTAACCGAAGTTTCTGGAAGGTAGTGGGGATTCCTCAAATTATTCAAAATTTGTGGTCTAGAAAAAAACGAGACATGTTTTAGATGCAAACCCACCTTAACCGAAGTTTCTGGAAGGTAGTGGGGATTCCTCAAATTATTCAAAATTTGTGGTCTAGAAAAAAACGAGACATGTTTTAGATACAAACCCACCTTAACCGAAGTTTCTGGAAGGTAGTGGGGATTCCTCAAATTATTCAAAATTTGTGGTCTAGAAAAAAACGAGACATGTTTTAGATACAAACCCACCTTAACCGAAGTTTCTGGAAGGTAGTGGGGATTCCTCAAATTATTCAAAATTTGTGGTCTAGGAAAAAACGAGACATGTTTTAGATACAAACCCACCTTAACCGAAGTTTCTGGAAGGTAGTGGGGATTAATCAAATTATTCAAATTTTGTGGTCTAGAAAAAAACGAGACATGTTTTAGATACAAACCCACCTTAACCGAAGTTTCTGGAAGGTAGTGGGGATTCCTCAAATTATTCAAAGTTTGTGGTCTAGAAAAAAACGAGACATGTTTTAGATACAAACCCACCTTAACCGAAGTTTCTGGAAGGTAGTGGGGATTCCTCAAATTATTCAAAATTTGTGGTCTAGAAAAAAACGAGACATGTTTTAGATACAAACCCACCTTAACCGAAGTTTCTGGAAGGTAGTGGGGATTCCTCAAATTATTCAAAATTTGTGGTCTAGAAAAAAACGAGACATGTTTTAGATACATACCCACCTTAACCGAAGTTTCTGGAAGGTAGTGGGGATTCTTCAAATTATTCAAAATTTGTGGTCTAGAAAAAAACGAGACATGTTTTAGATACAAACCCACCTTAACCGAAGTTTCTGGAAGGTAGTGGGGATTCCTCAAATTATTCAAAATTTGTGGTCTAGAAAAAAACGAGACATGTTTTAGATACAAACACACCTTAACCGAAGTTTCTGGAAGGTAGTGGGGATTCCTCAAATTATTCAAACTTTGTGGTCTAGGAAAAAACGAGACATGTTTTAGATACAAACCCACCTTAACCGAAGTTTCTGGAAGGTAGTGGGGATTAATCAAATTATTCAAATTTTGTGGTCTAGAAAAAAACGAGACATGTTTTAGATACAAACCCACCTTAACCGAAGTTTCTGGAAGGTAGTGGGGATTCCTCAAATTATTCAAAGTTTGTGGTCTAGAAAAAAACGAGACATGTTTTAGATACAAACCCACCTTAACCGAAGTTTCTGGAAGGTAGTGGGGATTCCTCAAATTATTCAAAATTTGTGGTCTAGAAAAAAACGAGACATGTTTTAGATACAAACCCACCTTAACCGAAGTTTCTGGAAGGTAGTGGGGATTCCTCAAATTATTCAAAATTTGTGGTCTAGAAAAAAACGAGACATGTTTTAGATACATACCCACCTTAACCGAAGTTTCTGGAAGGTAGTGGGGATTCTTCAAATTATTCAAAATTTGTGGTCTAGAAAAAAACGAGACATGTTTTAGATACAAACCCACCTTAACCGAAGTTTCTGGAAGGTAGTGGGGATTCCTCAAATTATTCAAAATTTGTGGTCTAGAAAAAAACGAGACATGTTTTAGATACAAACACACCTTAACCGAAGTTTCTGGAAGGTAGTGGGGATTCCTCAAATTATTCAAACTTTGTGGTCTAGAAAAAAACGAGACATGTTTTAGATACAAACCCACCTTAACCGAAGTTTCTGGAAGGTAGTGGGGATTCCTCAAATTATTCAAAATTTGTGGTCTAGAAAAAAACGAGACATGTTTTAGATACAAACCCACCTTAACCGAAGTTTCTGAAAGGTAGTGGGGATTCCTCAAATTATTCAAAATTTGTGGTCTAGAAAAAAACGAGACATGTTTTAGATACAAACCCACCTTAACCGAAGTTTCTGGAAGGTAGTGGGGATTCCTCAAATTATTCAAAATTTGTGGTCTAGAAAAAAACGAGACATGTTTTAGATACAAACCCACCTTAACCGAAGTTTCTGGAAGGTAGTGGGGATTCCTCAAATTATTCAAAATTTGTGGTCTAGAAAAAAACGAGACATGTTTTAGATACAAACCCACCTTAACCGAAGTTTCTGGAAGGTAGTGGGGATTCCTCAAGTTATTCAAACTTTGTGGTCTAGAAAAAAACGCGACATGTTTTAGATACAAACCCACCTTAACCGAAGTTTCTGGAGGGTAGTGGGGATTCCTCAAATTATTCAAAATTTGTGGTCTAGAAAAAAAACGAGACATGTTTTAGATACAAACCCACCTTAACCGAAGTTTCTGGAAGGTAGTGGGGATTCCTCAAATTATTCAAAATTTGTGGTCTAGAAAAAAACGAGACATGTTTTAGATACAAACCCACCTTAACCGAAGTTTCTGGAAGGTAGTGGGGATTCCTCAAATTATTCAAACTTTGTGGTCTAGAAAAAAACGAGACATGTTTTAGATACAAACCCACCTTAACCGAAGTTTCTGAAAGGTAGTGGGGATTCCTCAAATTATTCAAAATTTGTGGTCTAGAAAAAAACGAGACATGTTTTAGATACAAACCCACCTTAACCGAAGTTTCTGGAAGGTAGTGGGGATTCCTCAAATTATTCAAACTTTGTGGTCTAGAAAAAAACGAGACATGTTTTAGATACAAACCCACCTTAACCGAAGTTTCTGGAAGGTAGTGGGGATTCCTCAAATTATTCAAAATTTGTGGTCTAGAAAAAAACGAGACATGTTTTAGATACAAACCCACCTTAACCGAAGTTTCTGGAAGGTAGTGGGGATTCCTCAAATTATTCAAACTTTGTGGTCTAGAAAAAAACGAGACATGTTTTAAATACAAACCCACCTTAACCGAAGTTTCTGGAAGGTAGTGGGGATTCCTCAAATTATTCAAATTTTGTGGTCTAGAAAAAAACGAGACATGTTTTAGATACAAACCCACCTTAACCAAAGTTTCTGGAAGGTAGTGGGGATTCCTCAAATTATTCAAAATTTGTGGTCTAGAAAAAAACGAGACATGTTTTAGATACAAACCCACCTTAACCGAAGTTTCAGGAAGGAAGTGGGGATTCCTCAAATTATTCAAACATTGTGGTCTAGAAAAAAACGCGACATGTTTTAGATACAAACCCACCTTAACCGAAGTTTCTGGAAGGTAGTGGGGATTCCTCAAATTATTCAAAATTTGTGGTCTAGAAAAAAAACGAGACATGTTTTAGATACAAACCCACCTTAACCGAAGTTTCTGGAAGGTAGTGGGGATTCCTCAAATTATTCAAACTTTGTGGTCTAGAAAAAAACGAGACATGTTTTAGATACAAACCCACCTTAACCGAAGTTTCTGGAAGGTAGTGGGGATTCCTCAAATGATTCAACTTTTGTGGTCTAGAAAAAAACGAGACATGTTTTAGATACAAACCCACCTTAACCGAAGTTTCTGGAAGGTAGTGGGGATTCCTCAAATTATTCAAACTTTGTGGTCTAGAAAAAAACGAGACATGTTTTAGATACAAACCCACCTTAACCGAAGTTTCTGGAAGGTAGTGGGGATTCCTCAAATTATTCAAAATTTGTGGTCTAGAAAAAAACGAGACATGTTTTAGATACAAACCCACCTTAACCGAAGTTTCTGGAAGGTAGTGGAGATTCCTCAAATTATTCAAAATTTGTGGTCTAGAAAAAAACGAGACATGTTTTAGATACAAACCCACCTTAACCGAAGTTTCTGGAAGGTAGTGGGGATTCCTCAAATTATTCAAAATTTGTGGTCTAGAAAAAAACGAGACATGTTTTAGATACAAACCCACCTTAACCGAAGTTTCTGGAAGGTAGTGGGGATTCCTCAAATTATTCAAAATTTGTGGTCTAGAAAAAAACGAGACATGTTTTAGATACAAACCCACCTTAACCGAAGTTTCTGGAAGGTAGTGGGGATTCCTCAAATCATTCAAAATTTGTGGTCTAGAAAAAACGAGACATGTTTTAGATACAAACCCACCTTAACCGAAGTTTCTGGAAGGTAGTGGGGATTCCTCAACTTAGTCGTGATGTAGAATCTGAAATCATTCGAGTACTCAATCGTGGAGTCTCCCAGTCTGATACAGATGGATCCACTCTGCTTGAACACCTGTTTCATCAGAAGGGGTTCCAAAATGGCGTCCAGTTCCTCGCCTACTGCTTCCAGAAGAACCTAGACAGTAGTTTCAGTTTGAAGCGTCATACTTATTCTAATATTCTAAAATTAAGACTTGGATCATTATACTTTTACCCATTGATTCAATAATTTTGATACACCTTTGTCAAGTCGAACTAATTAGTTTTTCGAGCTCTCCTAAAGCACTATAAGAACTCAGTTTTTGAAAAAACTTGACCGAAAACTATGTTTTACTGTACGCTCTTAGAGCGTTTTGTCGACGCTTTTTACCTGACTTGTTTTCCAATAAGTCTTATTGAAATTTTCAATACTGACTGGAACTCCGAATCGATGCAGTTAACAATTCTGTGCAGGTGGTACTTCAACAGCTTTTATTTTTTATGAATTTGATTCATTCTGTACGAACTAAAGTTCCGAGCTGGATGCAGTTCTCGAGTGACAACTCCTTGCATAATCACCCTTCAACAATTTTTACATACCCGGGTTGACCTCCATACACCGAAAATGCTAATCATACAATTCCATACATCAAGTGTGTGGGAAAATGCTTGTCATACAATTTTCATACTATTTCGAAAAATTTATGAAAAAAGATATAAGCTAATTTCTACGGCTGTTTGATTCTTATAAAGCAGTCTGGTGATAAAAAACCGCGGTTTTTTTTCGAAAAAAAAGCTTATTATATAATTCCCATATATGGAAATTGTCTGACTGGCATTTTTTTGATGGCGACACAAAAATTTTTCCAATTAATTTTGAATTTGCATCAAAATTTTGTTTGTTTTTTTTCAACCGCAAATCAGTTTTTGTGAGCAAGCAAACATTTTCCAAAATTTTTTTTGCATGCAAATTTTTTTTTGTGTGCATAACGTAGTCCTGGATGCACTAATGTTGGAACTTTTTTTCTTTTCGCTTTACAATTTTTTTCAAAAACGCTGAAAATTTCTATTTCTTTTGTATGGCGTGTTTATGTATGCCTTGATCAATGTCTGATAGTTGTAAATTTCAAGTTTTTAAAACAATCCTCGTTGAAAAATTTCGCCCAATTTTAAAAGCGTTCTTTTTTGTGAAAGACAGCTCGAAAACAATTCAGGGCGTTTTCTATGCATTGTAAATACTTAACCGTCCAAACTTTGGTGCTTTGAGTAAACCAAGGTCTTTGTCACTTGTGTTTGGTTAAAACACAACCAAAATTTTTCAAAAATTATGTTCAGAAACAACAAAATCAACTTTTTGGTTTATGGCGAAACATCTATCATACAACTTTCATTGATAGAAAAATGCTTGTCATAGAGTTTTTATACAATTTTCTGTACGTATGGAATTGTATGAAGTTGTATGACAAGAAGTTTCTCATATATGGAAATTGTATGATAAGAAGTTTTGGTCAACCCGGGTAGTTTGGAGTTTTAACTATTCTGTACTTGCTGGAGTCACGAGCTGAATATGCACTTAATTTGCTAAATAAATTGATCCCATTTTGACAACTCCTTGGAAGCTCGCTACTTTGAAATTTTTTAGTAACTTTAACTAGTTTTCACTAACTGGAGTTCCAAACTGGATGGAGTTCTCGAAGGACAACTCCTAGGAAGCTCACTTCTTTGACCCTATTCATTAATTTTAACTAGTTTATACTAACTAGAGTTCCAAACTGGATGCAGTTCTCAAAGGACAACTCCTAGGAAGCTCACTTCTTTGACCCTATTTTTTAACTTTAACTAGTTTATACTAACTGGAGTTCCAAACTGGATGCAGTTCTCGAGTGTCCTGACGTAGTCCTGGTCACTGAGTTTGATGATGTGGAGGTTGTTGGCCTTCTCCATACTCTTCACGAACTTGTTCGCCTGTCCCTGCGGGTCTATCATCAGAGGCCATCTGCGGGAGTTCGTTATTATTATACCTGGAATTGTAATTCATCTAAATCAAAGGAAGCTTTTATATTTGAATGATGATACAAATCATATCAATACGATACGTCTGTTAATAAAGTACTAATTTTGAAAAATTAAGTTATGATAATACCTGAAGAAGTCACTTAGCATTAATATTGATAATAAACTGTGTTCATGCTCACAATCAGAAGTGTACAAATTTGATACAAATTATAACCCCATCCTGAGCCTGAGAGAACATCATTAGACCAATTGGTCCGTGTTCAAACTTCTCTGAATGACCAATATACTGTAAGCAAAACAAATTACATTAAACTATCATAATTTTTCAACTCAAAACAAAAGGTAGCTGAAACGTGAAAACAACCTAAATAAGCGTTTACCTGTGTGTCTACGGCATAAGAATTTTGACTAAATAGTTAGACAAAATGCTGATGGCAACTGGAGCATCTTTTTTCAACGACACACAGCTAACAGCCATTGTGTCCACTTATATTTTTTGAACTCATAAAACAAAAAAAATCAATTTTAAGTGTATTCGTTGAAAAAGTAACATTTTGCTTGCCATCTCTCCCATTTTTTGCAGCATTTTACTTAAGTGCAGGAATTGGGCCAATTTTACCTTAATTGAGGGGAAAAAAGTCTTAACCATCAATGGCAAAAAGTTGTATTTTCTTTCTCGTTTTTTTCTGCTGCCTATCATGCTATTAGAAACATTGAGTGTTTCAGAAAAAAGGTCACTTTAGGTCATTTTAACTAAACCAAAATCAAAATATATGCAGAAAAATAAACTTCTTGCGCAAACTTTTGTGAAAATTTTAGCTTGCTAAGACTTTGTAGGGCTGGGTAAGAGGCTTCTTTTGATATACTTTTCTCATCAATTAACTCGGTAGTTCCAGCGTAAGTCTTTGTTAAATGAAAAAAAAACCAAACATTTTTGTGAGAAAACTGTAGCTGAAAATTTCTAAAACTAAATTGCACGATAACAATGCTGTTTAAATTTTGAGCAACTATGGTCTTTTCCTTTTTTGTCTGATCTCAACCCAAATGTTGATTTTTTAAAAAAAAAATTCAAACATTGTCTGTTGAGTCTGCCTAATTTACATCAGCAGTGATTCAGGTTGAATGATCTTCCGGAGGGTTAGAGACCTTTCCCAGCGCAAAAAGCAATTATTTGATCGGTTTTGTACAAAATGGTCATTGTTGCGCTGCAATTGATGCACGTCTGTAGGGTCATTGTCAAATATTCCTTTTTTGTATAACACTATTGAAAATGGTTATCGATTTATCACAATATTTTTTTAGCCGGCTGTTGACTTCAATGGAGTTTTAGAGATCGACTGTTTGAGATTCTGCTGCTGCTCTTTTTATTACCCTTAAATTAAAAACGACTTCATCATTAGAAAGAAAAACGAAATCAATTGACATTTCTTTTGACTTTGCGGCAGTAGTTTGCTCTATTTATCTTCTTTTTCTGACGGATTTTTTTGACAATCTTTTTCAAATTATTTTCTATTTTTTTTTGTGTTATCACGGGTTTTCTGTTTTAGATTTTTTTCTACTAACAACTGTTATTTTCTTTTTTTGAGGTAATTCTTTAGTAACATCCTTTCGTAGTTCAAAACCTCTGAGTAAAAATTCCTAACCTCTTATGGAAAAACAATTTTTCAAGTGAAACATTCGAATCGAAACTGGCATTGTGTAAGTACGAACCCAAACCTTGGTTGAAAACCCAAACCTTAAAAAACCTTAAAATTCAAACATTAAAAATTGACTTGATAAAAACAGCTAAATCAATTCAGATTTTCTTTGAGCTGGCAGCTGGAATACACTAAGTTTGTCTCCTTTTTTGACGGAGACACTTTTCAATCTTGTTCATGAACTTTTTGCTAATTTTTGTTTCATCAAGGGCTTTTTCTGTTTTAGATAGTTTTTTACTCTTATTTAAACCATATTGACAATTATTTAAAACTATAAACTATATTGTCAAAAAAATGAACAACCTCATCAGGAAAAATGTCAGCTTAATGATGTGTAAATCAATTATTTATCATTTCCTAAAGAATTCAAAAAGTAAACATCAAAGCCAAAAGAGTTTTCAAGTGATAACAGCGCTCAGAGAATTCAAAAAAATTATTAATTTTTTCTTAAATGTCAGAAGAAACAAAAAATTAGTTTTATAGTTTTTCAAAATAGTAGTGAATTTTCGATTTTTTTTACAATGGTAATTTTTTTGATAAAGTTAATCCGACTAGAGAAAACTAGGCCCTCAAAAGACCGGTTGGCCTCAATAGACCAAAAATGCTGACCAAACATTTCCATAAACTACGTCTATAAAAATACTAATCATACAAAGTTCATAGATTTTGCTAACAAGAGTTCATCGACTTTTAAAATAATTTTCTTTTGTTTTTGGCTTAAAAATCGGTGTATTATAAATAAAAAGAAAAACATTTAGTCAATAAAAAGTGCTAATCAAATAATTTCCATATATGGATTTTCTATGACTAACAATGTTTTCGATAGCGACAGCCAAAATTTTTCAAAGTTGACCCAAGTTTGGCAAAACAAATTTTGTACTCAAACAAAAAATTTAAAAAATTTGCATGCAAAAAACACGTTTTTGTGTGCATAACGTCGTTCTGGATACAAATAATTCAATTTTTTTCCCATTTTTCAGGATAAGTTTTTTCAAAATGCTCAAAACGCTTTTATATTTTGTATGACACCTTTTTGTATGCCTTGATCAATGCATGATTCATTAAAAATACAAATTTTAAAATAAATTATCTAAGAAACATTTTGCTAAAATTTAGAAACTTAACACTTTCATTATTTCATTTGTTTAAGACAAAACTAAGAAAATTCAGGCCGTTTTTGATGCATTGTAATTGTGATACGGTCAAACCTTCGGTGACTCTACTTTTGAGTAACCAAGGTTTTTGCGACTTGTGTTCGGTTACGAACATAACTCAAAAATTTTGAGAAATTACATTTTAAAATATCAAATATAAGTCTCTTAACTTCTTTCATTGACACTTTAACTGAAACATGAGATTTGAGTTTTCTCTAAGAAAACAGCTAGGTTAAATATAATTTCGAAACAATTCAATGCAGTTAACATTTGGAGTTCATCTCCAATCCAAATCTATGTGAATATATTAGCCATGATCAGGGTTCGCTTGTATTGGGTCACTGAAGCGGAGGGGGTATGATAGTGATTGGAATACGGGCATGGTGGAGGACATAGTCGCTGACGCTGCCCATGAATGTCCTTCTTATGGCCCCCATGCCTCTGTTGCCCATGATTATGTAGTCCACTTTATGTTTCGTACAATATTCTACTATCGCTTCACCTAAATCAAACACTACTTTTTACAATAGTATTCTGGCAGTTGGTTCAATTGGTCCATTAGACTCTCACTAATATCTATTAAAAGTAGTTACTTTACGATCACAAAATTTTTTCATTTGCTGTCAACTTCGTTGCTGATTTAAACGATTCAATGTTGACCTTTAAAACACGATGTCAAATGCCTCAACTTTCAAATCAGTTATCTTCAAAAATGTAGATGGATAAATTGATACCAAAAAAATAACAAAAAAAAAACAAAGTAGTATATTATTCGAAAGTGTTTTTAAACAAACAATATTCCTTGCCTATTCCAAAATTATGTGTTTTTGTCTTCTGTTAATAGAAGACAATTTTTTTCGCAGAATGAATATTCACAAAAGGATTTTTTTTTAATTACCAAGAATAACTGGGGGCTATTTTATGTGCAAAAGACTGAATGTAGAAAATTCTCAACCAATCAACCTCTTTTGAAATGTCCAAAAAAAGACCCAATTTATTGCTTTTTTCGAATTTTCAAACACTGAGCTCTGATTGGCTCACGAAGTTTTCGCGCATTCGGTCCATCACGCATGGTGGATTCTCCCTAGAAATACTGACCTGCATGATTGGCAATTGCGTCGACGTACTCTCCTTTTACTGCTGCTTCTTTCAGCACATTTTCACACTTTATCTTCAATTCCTTCGCTTCCTTTTCCTTATTTTTTAGATTAGTTTCCACCGCTTCCACCGGCAGAGGCTCCGCCCACGTGAAATCAGTACCCGGAATTATAGTTGAAGTATCCACACTGTGGAATAATATTACGTCATCATTTGGCAGCTTGCCGTACTTGAAGTACCACTGGACTGCACGCATGGCATTGTCACTTAAGTCAACTGGTAGCAAAACTTTTCTGCCGGTTTCTTCAGTCATATTTCGAAGATACAATTGGAATTTGAAATGAAAGTTAAGACGCCAACTACTCGAATGAAAGAAAGATGAGGAAAATCAGATCAAAATAATCTGCCAATAGAACTTTATTGATCGGTACAGGTATAAGCAAACATGAAAGTGGTTAGAAAACATAAGCAAAATTGATGTAACATGATCAAGGTTCGATTGAACAGGAAAACAATTTTATAATTCAATGACAGAGGACGTTATCAAAGAAAGTTATTTTTTTCCAGTTTGGACTATCCTAACTTTGAGCAAATTATTTATTTCACGCCCAAACATTTTGAACAAGTAATTTATGGGCGTGCGAAAAATCATTTCAACAAATCTTTTAGGGGCGTACAAAGAAAACATTTTGAACAAATAAGTTATTGTACCCCTATAGTTACATAATTGCTATAATGCAAAGAACAAACAATTTTGAGCTCATTACTTTGCACAAAACTTAGAAGGCTTCAAGTTTTGCATTTTTCATTTTTAAGTTTATGATTTATTGGTTAAAATTTGGTCAAAAGCAGGCCACGATTCAACCATTGAGTTTTTTGAAGTAAATCTTTATAGCCATGTTCAAAAAAAAGCAAAACAAAAATGAAAAACGACGCACTAGAGAAATATTTTCATCTATGGAATAGCACGCATTTTCATTGATGGAAAAAAATTCTAGTCACACAAATCCTTTTAATGGAAAAACGATAATTTTCCTCAATTTAATTTTATACTGTGGAATGATATGACTGGGTTAAGTGAAATATCATATCAAAGTCCTTTCACTCGTGATTTGAACGAAATTCCCATATCTGGGATAAACCCATTTGAAATTTTTGAGTTTTAGTCTAACATTGAGTGAAAACAGAAAGAGAGCAGGCTTGTTTTAGAAGGATAAGACATGAAAACTTAGTTTTAGCTCCAAATAAAATTATTCTGCAGAAAAAAATTTTCCGCAAAAAACTGAAAAAAATTGAGAAACTTTTTTTTGAAAGTTTTTGTTTTTCTTGTCTTTTTTCGACAAAAACCGTTGCCCAACTTTTCTATTCTTCTATGACTGTTGATTATGCCTAACCTATAAACTTTCTTCAGAACCCTTTATCGCTAAAAAACATTATTTTGAAAAGAAAATATGGAAAGTCGGAATATTCTGTTCGACTTGCACAGCAACCGACTATCCTTGTTTACTATGTGTTCGATAGATATCCCGCTTCTCTTTCTGTTTGTTGAAGAAGACAAAAAAGTGCTGTAATAGTTGTATTTTTGAGGCAAAGATTTATATTTTTTCAACGGAAATGCTTATCATACAGTTCCATACATTAAAAATGTTTGTCATACAATTCCAAAACATACAATTCCATTTGTCATACAATTCCATGAACTGCAAAAAATTTGATAACAACTAATTTTGTACATTTTTTTTAAAACTGATTATCATGCAATTCCCATGTAAGGCAATAGTATGAAAGGTTTTTTTTTGAAGGTCCTGCATACATGAATTTTTTCCTTTTCGCTGGATAACTTTTTCGAAAAAATCTCAAACCATCTAATTTTTGTCTGGCCTTTTTTTGTATGCCTTGATTAATGCCTATAGTTTAAGACAATTATCAGACAATTAAGGTAATTTCCTATACCTTGTAAATGCAAAACCTTCTAACTTTTCATGACTCTAGCTTTGAGTGAACAAAAGGTTTTTCACTTGTGTTCGGTTACGATCAAAATCCAAAATTTTTTGGAAATTAGATTAAAAAAAACGTTTTGTTTTATGGAAAATGGTAGTCAGAAAACTTTATTATAAGGATAAACAGGCGCGGATCTAGGAATTTCTCGAGGGGGGTGGATTTTTATCAAAAAATTTTGAAACCTTTTTTAGTTCGACCAAATTGATTTTTTGAAAAAAGACCAAAAAAGGCGTTTTTAGGTTTTGTTTTGAAAATTTCAAGCAAAAAATCGCGTTTTTTCGGCGCACGCTCCCCCCTCAAATATGTATAGATTGATGCCGAAGGAGCCTTTAGAAAGTTTTTAAGGTCAGTCAGCCAAAAATGGATATCTCAAAATAGTAAAAAGGGGGAAACCTCTAGGTCGGAAGAAAATGCGTCCCCCACCGCCCCCCCCCCCTAAATCCGCTACTGAGGATAAATGCATGTCATAAAGAATCCATTCAACTTTGGAATTCATGTATTATGGAATTGCATGGTAAGCTGTTTTGCATATATGGAAATTGTATCATAAGAAGTTTTGGTCTACCCGGGATGGAAGAAGCTGATTTTTGCTCAGAGGAATAAAGCTGTAATTTGCTCTCAAAAGCAAAAAAGAATATTTTTTAATCTCATAATTATCATCTTATAAAATTCTTATAAAAAAGACTTAAGCGGCACTGCGCGACTTAAGAAAAAATTTAAGCGGCGCGGCGCGACTCAAAAAAGACTTAAGCGGCGCAGCGCGACTTAAGAAAAGACTTTAGCGGCGCGGCGCGACTTTAGAAAATACTTCAGCGGCGCGGCGCGACTTAAGAAAATGCTAAAGCGGCGCGACTTAAGAAAAGGCTTAAGCGGCGCGGCGCGACGCGACTTAAAAAAAACTTAAGCGGCGCGACGCGACTTAAGAAAAAATTTAAGCGGCGCGGCGCGACTCAAAAAAGACTTAAGCGGCGCAGCGCGACTTAAGAAAAGACTTTAGCGGCGCGGCGCGACTTTAGAAAATACTTCAGCGGCGCGGCGCGACTTAAGAAAAGGCTTAAGCGGCGCGGCGCGACGCGACTTAAAAAAAGACTTAAGCGGCGCGACGCGACTTAAGAAAAGACTTGAGCGGCGCGGCGCGACCTAAGAAAAAATTTCAGCGGCGCGGCGCGTTTTAAGAGAAGACTTAAGCGGCGCGGCGCAACTTAAGAAAAAATTTAATGGGCGCGGCGCGGCGCGACTTAAGAAAAGACTTCAGCGGCGCGGCGCGTTTTAAGAGAAGACTTAATTGGCGCGGCGCGACTTAAGAAAAGACTTAATGGGCGCGGGGCGGCGCGACTTAATAAAAGACTTAAGCGGCGCGGCGCGACTTAAGAAAAGACTTAAGCGGCGCGGCGCGACTTACGAAAAGATTTAAGCGACGCGGCGCGACTTAATATAAGACTTAAGCGGCGTGGCGCGACTTAAGAAAAGGCTTAAGCGGCGCGGCGCGACTGCAAAATCCAGTCTGAAAACGGTTTGTGGTGCGACTTACAAAACGTTTTTTAAGTCGCGGACCTCGACCCGGTTAGTATACTGTGAATTGGTCAATGTGCTGTTCATTGCCCCAGATAAATTCATTTTGTCTCACTCTATGAGTATTATAACAAAAGCTTTGACGTAAAACACGATTGTTTTCATTATACGCACGCGAAAGACAGGCTGCTAAGCGAATGTATAACTGGCCTCGAGCGCCAAAATTTTTAAAATCTTACATCTGAGAAAAGATTTTTCAGAGCGTTCCATAGCCATTACTCCGTTAAGCTAGTTTAAGAATCAGCTGAAACATTATAAGTTCTTTAGAAGGGCGGCTGGACTTTTGCTATCTAGACAAAACGAAAATAATGTTCCGACTTATAAAAGTTACGGTGTTTTTTAAATCACCTTTTTGAACAATACCTTTCGAATCATCTGAAATTGTTGGATTTCTTGGCTAAAAAGTGTAAATTGGTTCAGCTGTTTATCAAAATCGTAAGAGCTATTTCGTACTTTTGACGCGTAAGCGGCGGTTTAAGTCGGCTCAAAAACTACTCCAATTTAGGCAACTTTTCAATTTAACAAACACAGCAAAAAGACACACTTTAGAAGTGTCAGCGGACTCTTGGAAATCGGAAAAATATTCAATTGATTTTTCTGAAATTTTTTCAACATGCGAAATTTAAAACCTTTTACGACAATGGACACAAAAAACGGGACAAAAAAAATGTTGTTTTTTTTAAATTTTAGACTGGCAGTTCTGGGAAAAACTAAAAAAAGAGAAAAACCAAAGAAGCCTATTTTCAAGTCACAACCTATTTTTTTGTGCAATTTGTTTTGTCCTTATCGAAAAATAAATCTAAAGTCAAATCGCAAAAAAAAATCAAATTTGAGTTTGAACTATTTTGTTTTAAGAAACGGCCCACGTTTAAAATAAGTTAAATCTTTTCCTTTAATTACGTTTAATCATTATGAAGCTGATTTGTTTTTGGATAGACGCACAATTAGGTATCTGTATGTTCCATACTTGTTAAACATGTTGCAAAGTGTAAGTGCATTTCTATTACAACATTTGCATGGGTTCCGCATCCAAATACCTGTATTGTACACTGTTGGCATATTCGTTTTGTCGCGGATTCCACAACAAGCGAATCTAGCTAGTTTTTTTGGATTCCGCAACTTTAAGCTGAACGGATTCGACAAAATGTAAGTGGATTCCACAAACAAAATTGGATCGTTGAGTTGTTTGTTATACTGAACTGAACTTTCCGTTGCGTAAACAATTAAGAGCTATAGTTAGAATAAAAATCTAGCAAAGTCTGAATTTAAAAGGAAGGATTTAACTTTTGTTAGTGAATCCAAAAACAAATCCTAAATCATTTTTCAACAAAAATTGTAGATGTACTCCTTTAGTGTTTGGCTGAGATGAATTTTTATATTTCTTCAATATTATAACCTATGAAACAATTTGAGATTGGAAAAGTGTTCATGGTTTTAGTATTTGATATCGGAATAGTGTTCATTTTTTCAGTATTTGAAATCGGAAAAATGTTCAATCTTTCATATTTTGATATCTAAAAATTGTTAATTCTTTCAGTATTTGCGATTGTGAAGGTGTTAATTTTTTCAGTTTTTGAGATTTAATTGGTGAGCTTAAACTGTTAGCCGCAAATGTGGTTGAACATTTGGACAGTCTTGCTGATGACCTACAAGCATTTTAAATTGAAATTGTAATTTCAAGAAATAACTATATATGTAATTATATGTTACTAGAATCCGCAAACAAAATGTGGATTCCGCCTACAATTAAAAAATTCTGCTTTAGATATGCGAAATCCGCTTACAGTTGCTGATTCCGCAACAGTTCAATTTAACTAAACCTTTAATTTTGTTTTACTTGTGGATTTGACTAACTGTTCCGGATTCCACAAATACTGATGTAGATTCCGATAATTAGCCAATTTTTGGCGCGACTTTGAGCGGTACAAAATTTAGCTATTTGTCTGTGGAATCCAAAACAGCAAAGAGATCAATTGTTGCAGATTCCGCGACAAATCTGATTTTGGCCTGTTGCGTAATCCGTTTACAACTCAAGAATTACACAGCTTGGCCTCGAAATGATAATACTTTTTAATTTAATCAGTTCTCCCTGGTTAAAATAAACCACGTAAAGTATTTGTACTAAACTAGCCGTATTTGACGGGAAAACTCTTTGTTGGTCTTGCCCAACTAATTTTAAAAGGTTCGGAAAGTAGATTCCCCGGGTTGACCCCCAATGTTTATCATATAATTTCATACATCATATGTATGGAAAAATGCTAATCATACAATTTTCATACAATTTCAAAAAATTATTGAAAAAACATTTGAACTATTTTCTGCGGCTATTTGAACCAAATAAAACAGTCTGGTGATAACAAAAACGATGTTTCTTTTTTTGGAAAAAATGGTTATCATGCAATTTCCATATATGAAAACTGTATGACTAGAATTTTTTTGATGGCGACAATAAAAATTTTTAAAAGTAAAATTGAAATTGCCCAATTTTTTTTTGTTTTTTTTTCAACCGCAAATCGAGTTTTTCACTGAAAAAACACTTTCCAAAAAAATTTTTGCATGAAATTTTTTTTTCTAAATAACGTAGTTCTGGATACACAAAATTTGGATTTTTTTCCGTTTCTCTGGATACATTTTTCAAACTGGCTAAAAACTCATTTCTCAAAAACTTATTTCTTTTGTATGGCATGTTTATATATGCCTTGATTAATGTCTGATAATTTGAAAATTCTAATTTTAAAAATAACCATCTTTCAAAGTTCTTGCCAAAAATTAAAAGTTTGATGCTTTCATTATATGATTTCTGAAAATATTACAGGCCGTTTCAAATGCATTGTAAATGCCAGACGATCAACCCTTTGGTGACTCTAGTTTGGAGTAAACCATGGGTTTAGTAACTTGTGTTCGGTCATTTTTACTACAGGTCGTTTCAAATGCATTGTAAATGCCAGACGATCAACCCTTTGGTGACTCTAGTTTGGAGTAAACCATGGGTTTAGTAACTTGTGTTCGGTCATTTTTACTACAGGTCGTTTCCAATGCATTGTAAATGCCAGACGATCAACCCTTTGGTGACTCTAGTTTGGAGTAAACCATGGGTTTAGTAGTTTGTGTTCGGTCACGAACACATCCCAAAAAATTTGAGAAACAAATGTCTAGCAAAAATCAAACTTTGTTTTATGAAAAAATGCTTGTCCTACATTTTCCATATGTGAAAAAAAAACTTTTTCTGTATCTATGGAATTGTACAAAACTGTATGATACGCATTTTTTTCGTAATTGAAAATTGTAAGACAAGCATTTTTGGTCAACCCGGGTCAATAATTACTGAAACTCTAATGAAAAAAAATTATCCATTGTTGACAAGAAAGTTACTCGTTAGCCATCCCGAAAATAAATCTAATTTTCTCGGATAAAAACCAGAACTAATGATAACAAGACAAAACTCGCCGTTGTCTATGGAGAAGTTGTCGGTGGGCAGTCCGTAGATGTTCCAGTTCCTGATCTGCACCGGATCCCCCAGAGTTGCAGTGAGGCTGATCTGGTCCGAGCAGGGGATCCTGGTGTCCTTACACTGCTGAGACCAGATAGAGATCTGCTCCTGCAAACAGAGACGAGGCTTCAGTCTTCTCCAGATTTTGATGCATTATGTATAATTCGATTCAAATTTTTTCAAGAGATAAATTTTTTTTCTTCGTTTATTTCTTTATTTCTTTATCTTTCTTTCTTTAGTTAAATTCGGAATTATAGAACTTGCTATCAAGCTGCGAACTTGCTATCAAGCTGGAAAAATATCTTGTAAAATAGAATTTTATGAAAGAATTGTGAATTTTTTTTAAAAGCCTCCTTAAAGTCTGGATAAGCCAGTTAATTAAAAAATAAAGCGTATATAAACATTGACAACCGGTTTCTGGGCAAGTAGCACACACAGTTCCGACAGCAGTTCCTTTTTTCTCTTTGTATTGTTTTTTCTTTGTGGTGTGATGAGAAAACATCAACAAACGCCTAGCAAACTGATAGAGATAGTATTCTTGGTACATTTTGCATACTGTTTTCCTCATAAAACCAAAAAAAAACAGAACAAAAATAATTTTTAAGTTTTTCCAAGATAAAAAATAAATTACTTAAGGACATCCAAAGACAAATTTACCACAAATATTGAAATGTAAATGAAGTAAAATGTCTTTTCACAAATTTTCAGATACCACCTAAATGAATTTAAGTTCAAGGAAAAGAACATCTCGTTTTATTTCGGCGCCATTTTTCAACTTTGTAATTAAAATAGATCCAATTTCGGAATTAAAATTTCGGTTTCATTTTTCGATGTGCAAAATTTTGCTCGTAAAAGTTTTGGATCAGAGTTATGTTGGTCATCTCCATCGTAGACAAGAAACCTAATTGTTTATGAACACAATAAATTGTAAAATAAAACAAAAACTGTACATTTCTGAATGGTCTGGTGAATGCACCCAAGTAGGCCACGATGCCACTGGACACGAGGACATCCCCAATCAGGGCCACATATCTCTCTCCCAGCTGGGCCGCCTGGGAGATCCACCTCGCCTTCTCCCCTCCCAGTCCCCCCAACAACTGCTCTGCTCTCTCTAGCTTCTTCTCACACAAATCCACCTGCAGATAAACAAATTACCTATTATTGGTTAGATTGCTTCTTAAGTTAATAATGATCTCTAAGTTGATAATATAGTTTGGGTTCAGTTAATATTTTGTTTGGATAACTTAATTACTTTAATACAATGGCAAGTTGTATTTTTTCAGTAGTCAATACAGTTGTCTTTATTTTTGTTTGTAACGCAGAAAAGTTTTTGTAACGCAGAAAAAAATACATTTGTTTTAAAAAAAATTAACTGTGAGAAACAAAAAAATTACTGAAGTCCCAGCTCTTTTGATTTACGTTTTGAGAAATTAAAAACTGAGAAACATAAAAATTTTACTGTTGGTTTAAAAATCAAAATAAATGATATGGGAAAAAATGCAATCAAAAAAGTGACCGTTACTCGTTTTAAATAAATGCTGGATATTCAAGTTTCATTCTGCTGGTTTCTAAACTTTTTCCTTTTAATGTCAGTCCATATAATTTGCAAGATTGATCTTCTTCTGCTCCTTTTAAACTCATAACTGGTTTTCACAATTTTACATTTTTGGTGTATAAGTATTCAGGGGCCGTTTATCTCGAGGAGGGAGGCGGACTTTCAAAAAAAATTTGTCGAAATTTTTTTTAGGTCGACTAATTTAGTTTTCTGAGCTCTACGAAATCATTATCAAGACCCTATTTTGACCCAATTTTCTGCGCCGCAGGCGAAATTTTGAAAAAGTCAAAACAAGCGTTTTTAGGCACTTTTTGGAACATTTTGACCAAGAAATCGCGTTTTTTCGGCGCGCGCTCCCACCTTAAAATTAATATAAGTTGGCGTCGAGTTCGTCTTTAGAAAAATTTTAGAGTTAGCCGAAAATGGATGTCTCAAAATAGTACAAAGAGGACCCTTTGGGTCGGCAGGGGGTTGAATCCCTAAAAGGAGGCGATCCCCCCCTTCCTAAATTCACTGGTGTAAGTATGCTGCTGTTATAGTTTGAAGTGGACCTGGTTTTCAAGGTCGATCTTCTTCTGTTTGTTCTCCTCCAGTTTGGACTGCAGTCTCTGCAGCTTCTCCTGCACCTCCCTCAAGTCACTTCTCTTCTTCTCCAGGGCCTCCATGGCCACCGCCAGTTCAGCCTCCGCCTCCTTCAGACTCTCCTTCTTCGGGGCCACTATCTTCGCCACTCTACAACCCAACATTATTCTGATCAAACAAGAGTAGGCGGATACTGTGCAAAGTTTACAACAGAAATTTCTGAGCGGGGTTAGTAATGCTAAAATACATCAAAGTTTGAAACAAACTTTAAAAGTTTCAAAAAAAGAAAAAAGAAAGCTAAATAGTTCGACAATAATTTTATTTCCAAAAAATCTGGTTTTAATGAATTATTTTTTATTAAACAAGGCAAAACCGAATCAACTTGTAATTTTTAACAACTGCAAGGAAGTCAAAAAATTACGTTTGAAACAATACGAAACTTTGTTTGTGTGTTATTTTCCAAAAAAAAGCTGCTCAAATACAAAATTGATTGCTTTAATTTACTTAATTTACAACAAACATTTTCCAAAAAGATACTTTTTACATAGCTGATTATCAAAAAAAAATAAAAGAAAGAAAGAAAGAAAAAAAGAAAGAAACAGAATTAAGAAAGAAAGAAAGAAAAAAAGAAAGAAAAAAAGAAAGAAAAAAAGAAAGAAAGAGAATGAAAGAAAGAAAGAAAGAAAGAAAGAAAGAATTTATTTCTCAGATCCAATCTAAGCGCACCTTATACAAATGCAATACAATTACAAGAAAACATTGAACCAGAGGGGACACCAAAAGTATCATTCGTTCGCTGGATAGTGCCTTAGAGTTTCTGAACATCAACGGGAAACAAGTTGGATTAATTGCCTCAAACTTATGACATCAAACAGTTTGTTTCGATCAAAATAACTTATTTCCCATTGCATTTCAGAAAAGCCAGGAAATTATCAGGCGACCGGAAGCTATCGGAAAGATTTTGCTTGTTGAGCAAACAAATTGACAGCGTTTAAAAAACTGGCGCCCTCATTTTCAGCAGACAGTTTAATTGATATAGGATTCAGAAAAATGGTGAAACATTTCAGGCAAGATAATTTTTTTTGACCCCAAAAATCCACAAAAAAAATAAAAATCATCCGAAAGATTTTGATTTGTTTCAAGATATTGAAAACAGAAAAATTTCTTGCGAGTTATGCCTGCCGTTTTCACCATTTCAAGATAATTAAAACAGAAAAAATTCTTGCGAGTTATACCTGCCGTTTTTACCATTTCAAGATATTGAAAACAGAAAAATTTCTTGCGAGTTATGCTTGCCGTTTTCACCATTTCAAGATATTGAAAACAGAAAAGTTTCTTGCGAGTTATGCTTGCCGTTTTCACCATTTCAAGATATTGAAAACAGAAAATTTATTGCAAAATATGCCTGCCGTTTTTACCATTTCAACATATTGAAAACAGAAAATTTCTTGCGAAATATGCCTGCCGTTTTCACCATTTCAAGATATTGAAAACAGAAAAATTTCTTGCGAGTTATGCCTGCCGTTTTCTCCATTTCAAGATACTGAAAACAGAAAATTTCTTGCAAAATATGCCTGCCGCTTTCACCATTTCAAGATATTGAAAACAGAAAAATTTCTTGCGAGTTAAGCTTGCCGTTTTCACCATTTCAAGATATTGAAAACAGAAAAATTTCTTGCGAGTTATGCCTGCCGTTTTCACCATTTCAAGATATTGAAAACAGAAAAATTTCTTGCGAGTTATGCCTGCCGTTTTCACCATCAACGACAAAGTCAGAATAAATGAGCGAGACACTGATTCTACAAGCAAATAAATGAAAACCAAATGAGTTTAAACGAACAGTTAGACTTTGCAAAATTTCCTTTGCACAGCAAAAAAGTGACAAAAAATCAACAAGCTCGAAAAACTAAGACAAGCTCCAAAAACGAAAAAAGCCAAGAAGCTGGAAAAAAACGCTTAAAACTCTATTTTTGTGCTGCTTGAAACAAGAACTATATCACCTGAAGCTCCAAAAAAATCATAAGAAATTCAAGTTTATAAGGTATATTTGCCTTAAGCTGTTTCGTTTAAATAATGTTCTTGACAACAAAAACCGGAGCAAAACTTTTTTTTCATTTAGCTAGAAAAGACAGTATTTAAAAGCAGTGATATAACAATTTCAATAAGAAAACCAGAAATCTAGCACAGAATTTTTCTTTCTTTTTTGTTGTTGCAGAATTTAGCGCTATAAGTCTCATCGTACCTTTTTCGATCTTGTTTATATTCAAAATGAAGGTCACAATACCAGATTTTTCAAGATTAAAGTCTGTCTAAACACAAAACTGTTACGTAAATAAATCGAAGTGTTTTAATTTTAGCTAATTTTTGGACGAGGAGTACACGCTAAGCTTTAAGAATTTGAAATTTAAAAAATATAAGATAAATTGTGGTTTTCGAAAAATGTGGTTTTCGAAAAGATGTTTAGTTATAGCAAAATGTAAAAAACTCTTATCAACTCGACTGAGGGAGTGGGCAAAAAATTAGTTGTTAACCAGTTGCCTCTGATTCAGGATTATTTTCGTCTACATCTGAGTACTGAACGATTTTGTTTTATCTTTTCGGGGGGGGGGGGGGGGATTTGGAGAAACTCAGAAAGAGTAAAAAGAGTAAAATGTTCACTCACTTGTCATAGGAGTCCATGGCCCTCACCCATTTGCAGAGACCCTCACACGCAGTCGAGGCATTCTTGATCTTCTCTGGCACAAATTCTGGATTTGGTATGAATTTATCTCTTATCTGCTTCATGATCTGCACTGGAATGTTGTCCTGAATTTACAACATAAAAGTCAATTTTCTACATTTGAAAAAGTTTACAGTTTTGGAAAAACATTACATTAGGCGGATTTACTTTATTGCGCTAATAGCTTCAAAATTTTTATCTTTTGTAAAATTTTTTGAAAAAAAAATAAATTAAAAGCGCAAATAATTTTATATACTTTAGCATGCGCAGCACTTTTCTCAGACATAGCTAATGCCTTCTGAAACATCAAAACAGTAAAGAAACTGTTTGTGAAGCTTGCATATTTTTTTTGACCTTCAATTGATTCTAAGCTATCCTACCGTCTCTTGTCCTTATTATGGCCTCCAGCCCGGCGACAAAAATATAACCTAAACACATTTGTTTCTTTCTGAGGGAGGGGCTGTTAAAGTTTGGTGGGTGAGGGGGGGTGGTTTTTTGGAAGCGGGTTGGATAATGGGATGAAGTCAATGTACCTTGTCGAATGCCTTCAGGTTGTCCAAGAACTTCATGTCACCCAGCAGTCTCTTGCTGGGACCCCAGTAGTCGAGGACCATCTTTCCAGTGCCGGTGGGGTCTGGCACCCTGTCTGGCTTGGAGTTCTTCAGGATGCAGATGGCCTCCATCACTAGTTTCACGCCAGAGGGCGGGTTCTTCATCGCTTTCACAATTGTAATGTCCTATTACATAACAAAAAAGCATTGTTTGATCACTGTTATGTAACAATTATATAATAGTTAAATGCAAGATTTAGGCTTCATCTTCATCCAGAACGATTATCCAGAAATTGACAGTAGCAGATGAACCAATTCCATATTTATTTAAATATCCGCTTTTCCCTCGAATCGTTTTTTCGAATTGGGCTGTTGTCGAATTACAGTTATAGTGTTGCAGTTCTATCAAAATTGCAAGTATATCATTTGAAATAACCTCATATCAGCAGAGAAAAAAATGCATAACCCGAGTTGTCCTCCATAGACTGAAAGTGCTGAGATCCCTGGCTAAAGTGCAATTCAAGTTCTTAAAAAAATCTTGCATCTTGTCAGTAAAACAAAAATAAGAATTCAAAATCTTATAAGAATTTATAAGAGCAGGGGCGGATCTAGGATTTTCTCGAGGGGGGGGGGGCGGATTTTCAAAAAGAAATCAAAAATTTTGACGACCTTTTTTTTTTTAGGTCGACCAAATTGATTTTTTGAGCTCTCCCAAAGCACTTTTTTGCCCATATTTTGGCAAAATTTTCTGCGCCGCAGGCAAATTCAAATTTTTGAAAAAAGTCAAAAAAGGTGTTTTTAGGCACTTTTTGGAAAATTTTGACCAAAAAATTGCGTTTTTTCGGCGCGCGATCCCCCCTCGAAATTAGTAAATATTGGCGCCCAAGGCGCCTTTAGAAAAAACTTTAGGATCGGTCGGCCAAAAGTGGATTTCTTAAAAAGTACCCCCCCCCCTAAATCCGCCCCTGTATAAGAGTATTATAGATTTCGTATCAGGGGCAGATGTAGGATTTTCTCGAGAAATCGAGGATTTTGAAATTTTGTCGACCTTTTTTTATATATTTTTTAGACCGACCAAATTGATTTCCGAGCGCTATGAGAACACTACAAAGACCCTATTTTGACAAAAATGTTGCGCCGCAGGCACATTTCTGAAAAAAAAACAGGTAAAAAAATCCGTATTTGGACACTTTTTTGGAAAATTTTGACCAATAAATTGCGTTTTTGTCGGCGCGCGACCCCCTTCAAAACTAATATATTGGCGCCAAAGGCACCTTTAGAAAACTTTTTGGATTTATCGGCCTAAAATTTATGTCAGAAAATAATACCAAAAAGGGGAACTTTTGGTGGGCGAGGGAAAAATCCCTGAGAGAAAGAGTAGAAAGGCTTCCCCCCCCCCCCCAGCTCCCGCTCCTAAACCCGCCCTTTTCGAACTCCGTTTTAGACTTTCCAGTCTTCATTATTTCTAAAATCTCACACGACTGAAAAGTCTAAGCAACGACCAATTTGTGACCTCATTCCGTTTGGTATGATCTTTTTTTAAGTCACTTAAAACACTTGCATTCAAATAAACCGGAAAAAAAACGTGTTACATCATCTAGGTAAAAATTCGAAACCTTATGAAATTTTTTATGGGATCTCAAAAGATTTTGAACTGTGATTTGGAATTTCAGTTCTTCAAAAAAGATTCCAGGATCCTTGAAACAAAAAAAAAGCAATAAAAAGCAATAAATAAGAAATCAAATTAATTTTTTTTCAGGTCGACCATATTTTCAGGTCGGTTTTTTGGCTCTTTTTCCTTTTCCCCCCCACCTCACACAACTATCAATTTTATGGTGTAACGAGTGGTTTTACAAGTTTAATTATGGAGACAAAATATGTTTGTCACAGCCTAATCAGTCCGCATGTCAATTTTCATAACGATCGAACAATGTCAACAGAACCTTTTTTAGTAAAAAATTGCAGGTGGGGGTGAAAAGGAAAAAGAGCCGGTTTTTTTTTCAGGTAGAACATTTTGATTTTCAGAGCTCTCTCAAATGACTATAAAAACCCTAACTTGACCGAATTTTCCGCATACATAATTAAAAAAAAAACATGCCAAAAAGGCTTTTTTAAGCATCTTTTGGAAAGTTTGGACCAAAAAATCACATTTTTTTGGCGCGCGCCCTCCTCCCTAAACTTGGTATATATTGGCGACAATGGCGCCTTGAAAAAATTTTGGGGTCAACCAGCTAAAAATAGATATCTCAAATTAGTGCAAAGGGGGGCCGTTTGGGTCGGCAGGAAGTCAAATCCCTGAGGGGAGAGCGGCATACGCCCGCCCTGCCCACGCAAATCTGTTACTGGGAGCAATCATGTTTTTGACCTGCCACAAATGCTGTGATTGTCTGAATTGCCATCTTGAAGTATTTTTAAACGCTTGTTTATGACCTTGACTATTGCTAGCGATCTCCACCGGAGTGAGCGTAGAAAAAGGTATTAGTGCATTTTGTTATGCGCAGTCATCTGTAAACCAATCTGACATAACGGTAGTCCCCCCATTCTGGTAAACACACACCCGAAGTCTTAAAAATAGTAGAGGAGCAACAAAAATAATCAACAACGGCCAAAGCAAACGTATAGCGATAAATCTGAAGACTCAAACTAGAAACCAAGACTTTTATTGGAATGCGCATGGAAAAATCAGACAAGAAGATTCGCTCAATACTTTACCTAGCGCTAGGAAACGAGGGTAGACTTATTTTTGCTCAAAAGTTCTCAGAAGTTAAAATCCTTTGGATAAGGTTCGTTGAGTTCTGGCACTTTTTAAATCAAGCTTTGATCAGAAAACCGAAAGTGACATTCAGGCGTCGAAGTCTACCTAAAGGACACTGGGAAGACAAAAAAAAGTGTGGAACAATTCTGAGGTGCGTTTGCTGAGATTGCTAAAATTGCGACAATTTCAGAGGAAGCCTTAAACAGAAACCCTACCGCCACAGAAAGCTCTAATTGATGCTCTGATAGATGAGAAGGGAACCTCGAATCCTTTGAAGACGACGAACAAATTTACACGTTCACACCCTCTACATAACAATCCTGTAAATAACCACCGGAGTTTCAATAAGCGAGAGTCAACACTTGCTGTAGATAGAGGAAATTCATTTATGATAGAGAAATTTTTTTAAAGGGACACCTTGCTATATGCCCAGCAAAAGACATTCTCTGTACATCTTGTTTATAACTTTGTTTTAAAATCCACTTCACAAAGAATTGTTAGCCCGGAAAAAAAACTTTTTTTCATTAACTACAATAGCGTTGATATCGAGTTTGTATTTTCTTCGTATCAACCTAGTGTAAATAACCATGTACATGGAGAATGCTGCGGCGTAAAAACACATAGTCAGAGGCAAGACAAAGCGACAACGATAACTTTTCGGCACTCATTGTGACGGCTAAATTTGATAAATAAGGAAATGAGTTGAAAAACTACTGAAAATCGGTTTAGGATTTTTTTTCCACATGAACATCCAAGTCGTGTAGCTACCCCGGTGAGTTTTCTAAGGAAGCTTTGGTAAATGAACTTGAAAAGCGTGACCACTATCTGATACTCAGCTGAATCGGCCAAGCTTTTCTGGGTTTCGTCTGTGGTTTTAAAGAAGACCCGATAAAGATAGTTGGTCGAGTGATAATACCAATAAGATCCAATGTATGGTCTTACGAGAGAACGCCATTTTCTTGGTTACTAAAACCTTCCTATTGTTGGAAAATAAGTTGCACTGAAACTTTTTTCCCACTTCAAAAACACCACTGAAAGTAAGGAAGTTGTAAGGACTAATGAAGAAAAAAAAAGATAAAAATTTACATTTTTTCTTTTCAATAGACTTTTCAGTAGACTTTTCAACGAGGTTACATATTTTCCTTACCCCCTAAACATGTTACAAATGAAGGAACGAAGACTATCAATTCATCTAAGACCTGCATTGAATCAAGAGCTTGATAGACTAACGTCGAAAACTTATAAAGTTGCAACCAAGACAAGACTATCAGCCCAAAAACCAAGAAAAAATCACCTATAAGATAAACAAGTCAAAAAAGCTCAAATTAGACCCAAAATTCAATAACAAAGAAATCTTTTAAAACAAATACCAGATGAAAAACTTTCAAAATTTGATAAAAAATGTTGCAAAATCTAATAAGACTAGATCACAAAGATAAACAAAAAAGCATACATTTGGTTGAATTTGGACAAGTTTACGCCCAAGCAGTGCAGTTTTAGTATCGTGGGCAGAAGTATATTTGTTAAATACTAATGTTAATTGGTTTTTACGGGCGATATTTCAAATGATATGCAAAAGGTGATGGACTCAACTATTGGAGACATTTTGGAGACAATTTAGAAGAATATCGAGAAGGAGTTAAAACGAGTTTGTCAACTTTTTACAAGACTTATTTTGAAGTAAAATGGCCCAAATTTAAATGAACCAAAAGAGGTAGAATGGCATCGTTTTAAACTATCGGAATCCGGGGTAACCGGATAAGAAGATAAAACCTTACAAAATAAAATCTTACCAATCCCACGAAATCTGAAAAAACGACGCCCATGTTTTTGGATCGTTTCATGAAATTTTCCCTAAATTTAGCATACTTTGAAAACCCAAGAAGACTTTTACTAAACAAGAAATAAATTTTTCGTTGGTACGATGATCACACAGTCGCAAAAAAAATAGCAGAAAACACACTTCGACGTGAAATTGAGTACAAGAGTTAAAACGGAAGCCTCAAATAACGGTCTCGCTGATGCCTTTGAGCAACTCCATCGCGGAACATTCAACAAACGAGATTGAACCACTTGGCGTCATGTGAGAAGTAGAACACAACAAAAAATGTCTGTACGCTGCTGAAATTGAAACAAAAACAGATCACAAAGTTTTATTTTTCGCTTTTTCTTGTAACTTTGAAAACAAAACCTGTTACAGACATTTATTAAGATGCTTATAAGAATCTTTTAGCTTTTAATTTTTGTTTGTTTAACTAAACTGCAAAAAACATGTATACTACTGAGCTCAGTTCAAAATTTCTGATGGAAAAACCCATATTACCTTTAACTTATAGTCAAGAATTCTTGGTAACCACAATTTCAAAAATCAATTCAATATAAATCCATCGGATACTTTATCAAAAACAAAAGCTACATTCAAACTCAAATCTGATTCATCAATTTACGAAAAAAAAATTATGACACAATACTACGTAAGACTATAATAGCATTTTTTCTAAAATTTGTTAATTCCAGATTGAAAATTCTCTATTTTTATCACTGCCGTTCCGGATTTTTATGTTGGCTAATTTAGCCAATTATTTTTATGTACACAGGAGAATTCTAACAACTTCCTTTTCTTCCGGTTTTACTGTAACTTTCAGTGTCAAAAATGTATCTTCTGAACATGCTATCTTAGCTAAAAACACCGTGAATCTTATTTAACCTGCTTAAGATAGATACTCAAAGTTTTCAACAGCAAAAATTATTTCAAGTATCTTTGCTAAAACAGTTATCGTTACTCTTACCAATTAATTTTGTTTAATGGGATTCTTAATTCAGTTCGTGTTGATCACGCTTCAAGATTTACTGGGATAAACTTTAAATCGCTTTGTGAAAACGAGAATAATAATATCACTTTTTGGGCAGTAGACAAACACCGCTCCATCGAATTGATTGAAAAACTTGCAATAAACTTGGAATAACATGAGAACTTGAAAAACTTGAAAACTTGCAATTTTCAAGTTAAAACTTATTAAAAATGTCTTCAGAAATACCAAAATTTCATTATTCGATTCAAAATATAATTTGAAATCTAAAATAACTTGAAATCTTCGAGGTACTATTCAGATGAAAAGGAAATCTACATTTAAAAAAAAACTTTCAATAGAAACCCAAGACATTCTGGAAAAACTTAGTCTTTTAAAAAAAACTAAGACTTTCTAGATAACGGAAAAGCAATCTTTCCAAAGGAGAGAGTACACATTTGGGCAGCGTAATACAGAGTTGAGGGCGGTTACCTAGACACACCTTTGGATAACAAGAATAGACAACGGGCTAAAAAGAAAAAGACTCCGAACCAAGTCCATCATTGCCACTGTAAATGGCCAAAGACGAAAAGACACACAAAACAACTATACTAACATTAAGTCCGATCAAAAAAAGTAAAATCTTTTGAAACGGGCACCCTATAACCGAATAATGGGCGAAAAAATGGTTCATTCCTCAAATTTTACGATGAAATTAGCGACAGGAAAATCCTCCAGTAATCTGACATAACGATACGTGAAAATAATTCCAAACAACTTAAATTTTTTGGAAGTATTGTTACAATGAATGATTTTGACCATTCTAATGAAGTAGGGTCAAAGAAAAAGAAAATTGGCCCAAAAAACAACAAGAAGTCGCAATTTCTACATCGAACAACTTGACAAAAACAAGAACGGTACATTTAAACTCTTTTTGACGTTATCCTGTGCAACTAGACACTTAATTTTACTTGAAGTCGAATCTTTCTCCTAATGCAAATCCGTTAGATCGATACATACAATAGTAGGTTTTATCACTACTTCAATCAGTAGGCGCTTCCAAATAAGTATTACCTCTTCTATCAGTAAAACGGCCCGTAACCTCTTCATGAATCTTACAAACCAAAATCCAAAAACTCCAAATTATTTCAATAATTTGTCAATTCCGTTAGAAAAATTTCAATTTTTAAATTTAACCTTAGTAATGCAATACAAAATTCATTTCACTTAAATCTTTGATACCAAAGTTTTCGTACAGAACTAATGTACTTAGTTGTTCTTTTGCAATTTATATCATTATTCTTCGCTTTCTGCCAGATGGAGAAAAAGGTCAATTGGATTTATGGTTGTACTGTTTGAATTATTCCCAGTAGATCAATTGGATTTATGATTGTAGTCCCGGGTTGACCTCCATGCACCAAAAATGCTTATCATATAATTCCATACAACAAAAATCATTATCTTACAATTCCATACACCAAATGTTTGGAGAAAATGCTTGTCATACAATTTTCATACGTTTTCGAAAAACAATAGAAAAAAAATTGAACCATTTCTGCGGCTTTTTGAGAACAGTTGAGCAGACTGGTGACAAAAAAAAACTGATTTGAAGTTTACAAAAAATATTTACCATACAATTTCCATATATGAAAACTGTATGACTGGCATTTTTTGATGGCGACACTAAAACGTGATTTTGAAAATTTGCCCCAATTTTTTTTTGAACCGCTAATCGAATTTTGTTCGCAAAATAACATTTTTCAGAAAAAAAATGTTGCATGCAAAATCTAATTTTTTGTGTGCATAACGTAGTCCTGGATACGATAACATTAGCTTTTTTTTCTTTTCACAAAAGTTTTTTTTTCAAAAACGCTTAAAATTTCTTTTTCTTTTGTATGGCGTGTTTATGCATGCCTTGATCAATGTCTGATAATTTGAAAACTCAAAAAAATTCAAAATACTCATAGAAAAATTTTGCCAAAAATTAAAAATTTGTTACTTTTGTTATATCATTTGTGAAAGACAGCTCGAAGACAATTCAGGTCGTTTTCTATGCATTGTAATTGCAAGACCGTCCAACCTTTGGTGCTTTGAGTAACCAAGGTCTTTGTCACTTGTGTTCGGTTTCAAACACAACCCAAAAGTTATGGGCAAATGTTTATTATAGAGATTTCATACAATTTTCTGTACATATGGAGTTGTATGGAATTGTATGAAAAGAAATATCCCATTTATGAGAATTGTATGAGAAGCATTTTTGGTCAACCCGGGGTATTTAAATTTTTCCAGTTAGTGGAAGTGTTGTGATTGTTTAATTTGTTTCATTATTTTACTTATTTTAGCAGGTCGTCTATGACCTTGAATTTTGCTAACGATCTCCACCTAGCGAGCACATTGTTATTGTGTTTAGGTAGAGACAACACACATCTTAATTGAACTCTAATCTTCACTTTCTTATTCACTTTAAGCATAGTTTAGATAGGACATTAGTACATTTTTTAATAAACCATTTCATTTTTCGACATGCGCAGAAATTGACGGAAATTCTGTGCTCAGAGGCTTATGTCTCCAGAGAAGTTCCACATTCCAGATACGAGAACTAACAGTTTCTGACGCTTAACTATGCCGACTTTTCTGTCGGCTACTGCCTGTTGTGAGCACTAGCTCGAGTCTTTGTTTTAGCTACTTCAACCAGGTTCTTAGGCATCTGCAAAGCTTTCAGCCTCAATTCGGAGTTTAAGTGGAATGCTAATAACTGTTTCAACTTTTAAAATTTACATCAAATTAATTTTCGTACGAGGTTTGTATAAGCTTCCGCTGCATAACTCGTATAGAGTTTTGAGTATTCCAAAGACCGAAATACAATTCACCCTGTAAAAACCTATCAAAAAACATTTAGTATACCATTTTCAGATATAATTCTGAAAAGACTTGATGTTTTTTTAATCAAATGTCTACTCAACGTACATTTTGGGTCAAAGTGTCCAAAGCAGAGAGAGCGGCTTCTAAAATAGGCATTGCTTCTGCTAGGTCAGCATTGCACTCGTCCTTGATTGCCTGCGCTGCTTTTGCCTGTTCGTTTGCAACTGCTTCGTCGGCTTTCACAATTTTCTCCGTTTTGGCCACTTCGACTGAATCTCGCTCTATGATCACCATTATTTCGTCAACCTAAACCAAAGAAAAATAGCTCAATTAGCAGAAAATGTCTAATGAACCGTTAAGATAATCTTAAACCTTTTAAATACTTTTTTGTTATTTTCTCCTCTCGTCAAAAAGAGGGCCCAAGCTTTTTTTAAATTACTCATTGCTTTAGGTCCAGCGGCGTATGGAAATAGGCCAAAGTTTAGTTCCAGCGTAACTTCTAGAATTGGATCTTTCATTTGCTCTAATTTACCGAAAATATCGATTCATATTCCGATCTTGAACAAAAAATAAACGGAACATTCTAGCAAGATATTAATAGTTCCATTTAGCTTGCCTCAAATGAAACAAGACTGCTCGTATCAGGACAAAGCACTGAAATTTCCGACTGCCATTTAAATGGTATCCAGAAGTTCTGCCAATTTTCTGAATCTTAGGCTGTTCATATGAAAATTTAAGCGTTACAAGCTGAGTCGTGTATGTGATTTAAAAACCAATTGGCAGCTTCATTGGCACCAAACTCAAAATATGAAAGTCTGTTTATATTGACTGTTTATCTTATCAACTGCATTAAAACGTGTCAGCGTGAATATATGTGAAAATTCTTACATAATTTCCTACATGCAAAATTCCGTGTAAGCAATTTTCGAATAGTTTCATTTGGTAATTTTTAGAGGGACCAGGGAAATTGGAAAAGAGCCCGATGATGTAGCGCGGGATAGTTTGCCACGCAATTAATTTATAGAACTACCAAATTAGTCATACTCGTGGAAGGATACTGTAGTGGTGTGCACAACCGACTGGGCGCCTACAGATAGAGATAAATATACCGAGGGAAAAGAGTTTTGCAAAATTGAACTGATTAAAAAAAACCACCCCGATCATAAAAATTCCCCATTTTCTTTGAAAGTCGGAACAATAAAAAAAAGGACATTTTTGACTGATTAAGTCGCCGCTTTCTTCTTAAGAGATCGAAATATATCGTGAGTTAATTGTCCAAAAATTCTCAATTTTCAAACAGTCAAAAAATTAAATTAAAAAATCACAAAAGAAGTGTCTCAGTGCTTTCATGCCTTTACATTGTATAGAAAAACTCCACATTTGAACAAAAAGAATCTAGTTGAAAAACTGAAACTTTTCTGAAAAAAAAACGCTGAAAGCAAACTTTTTATCCTTTTTCGAAACTCGAAACAAAATTATTAAATTCCCATTCACCTAATACAAAACTTCCTAACACATTGAAGTTTACTCGGGAAAAACAAGATAAAGACTAGGATAGCCAGTTGCTGTGCAAGTAGCACAAAACGTTCTGACCATATACATAATAACTACAAATAAAAGTTCTTCAAGTTTTTAAGTTCGACAAATCGGCGTCGTTTTTTGAGCGTGGTGTGATAAGAAAACTATAAGCACTCGTAAACAATTAGTAAATTAGGCATCATCAACAAGAGTTGTCTGCAAAAAAAAAAGAATAACAAAAAAAGGAAAAAAAAACTTTTAAAAAATGCGAATTTTTTTCTATTTTTTCGAACGATTTTTTTTCTAATTTTAAGAATGTTTTTTTTTTGCCAAATTTTCAAAACCGTTTAAAAATTTAAGAAAAAAAAATGTTCAGTCTAAATAAGTAATTTAACAAATTATCTACACTTTATTTAGTCAAAATTAAACGAAAAACCAAAGATTTCAAACTGGTTTTTCTCGAAGCTAGGAATTTCTTTTGAAAATTTCAAAAATTGTACGCATCACGACTGAAAGGGTTTAAACATGATATATCTCTCAACCCATCCAATGATTATTTGTGGCACCTGATTTAACGTGGAAAACGAAAAGAAAAACAAACCCGAATACAAAGTTCCTCGCCAAGTCGGGTAACATGTCGAAAGCAGCTTTGTTTCTGTGTGACATTAGTAATGGAAGTCCCTCTAAATCATTTTTTTAGAGATGAAAAAAATCAAAATTTTAAACAGCTGATCAGTTCTATCATGTGATATTTCAGTAGTTCTAATACGTTGTATTCACAAAAAAAAAACACAAAGGCGAAGATGAGCTATAAGTTTCACTGAAGCAGGGTCCCAAAGCTCAAAAAATTGTTTTAGTTCTCATCTATAACCCAATGGTTTTTTCGTTGTTATACTATTTCAGTGCTATCCATAAATTTTGCTCTGTTTTTTCATCCTCGCGTCATAGAAAATTTTTTAACATCTAGGAAGCCCTTTGGTCGGAAAGCAATCTGAACGAGATACGAGCGTCAAAAATTATTCTAAAGTCGATTCGCCTCTAGATGTGACCTTGATGTGATTTGCACATATAAAAAAAAGGATTATTTTAGAATCATCATGCTAAAATCTTTTGGCCGATATCTCTTAGCTGATCTTTTTTTAGCCGGAGTCGTTATAAAAACAGTCTTTTTTAATTAAAAGGAAGAAATTAGGTACCCGTGTCGAGGTCCGCGACTTCAGCAAAGACCGGCGCGACTCAAATTTGGCAATTCTACACCGGCGCGACTTTAAATTGGCAACTCCAGACCGGCGCGACCAAAACTTGGCAACTGAAGAACGGCGCGACTAAAAAAAAAGCACCACGACCGGCGCGAATCAAAACACCGTTGGAACCGGCGCGACCTAAGGTAATAGCGCTACCGGCGCGACTGAAATTTTTCAATTTCGAACCGGCGCGACTGAGAATAAACCGCTTCATAAAAGAACTAAGCGCCGCGGCGTGACCTAAGAAAAGACTTAAGCGGTGCGACTTGAGAAAAGACTTAAGCGGCGCCACTTGAGAAAAGACTTAAGGGCGCAACTTAAGAAAATACTTAAGCGGCGCGAAATAAGAAAAGGTTTAAGCGGTGCGACTTAAGAAAAGAATTATTAAGGGGCGCGACTTAAGAAAAGACTTAATCGGCGCGACTTAAGAAAAAACTTAATGGGCACGACATGAAAAAAGACTTCAGCGGTACGACTTAAGAAAAGATTTAAGCGGTGCGACTTAAGAAAAGACTTAAGCGGCGCAACTAAGAAAAGATTTAAGCGGCGCGACTTAAGAAAAGACTTAAGCGGCGCGGCGCGAGTTAGGAAAAGACTTAAGCGTTGCGGCGCGTTTTAAGAAAAGGTTTTAGCGGCGCGGCGCGACTTGAGAAAATACTTCAGCGGCGCAGCGCGACTTAAGAAAAAGCTAAAGCGGCGCGACTTAAGAAAAGGCTTGAGCGGCGCGGCGCGATGCGACTTAAGAAAAGACTTGAGCGGCGCGCGCGACTTAAGAAAAGACTTGAGCGGCAAGACTTCAGAAAAGACTTAAGCTTTGCGGCGCGACTTAAGAAAATACTTAAGCGGCGCGGCGCGATTTTAGAAATAAATCAAGCGGCGCCACGCGACTTAAGAAAGGACTTAAGCGGAGCGACTTAAGAAAATGCTTAAGCGGCGCGACTTAAGAAAAGACTTAACCGACGCGACTTAAGAAAATACTTAAGCGGCGCGACTTAAGAAAAGACTTAAGCGGCGCGACTTGAAAAAAAAAATACTTAATTTGCGCAACTTGAGAAGAGACTTGGGCGGCGCAACTTAAGAGAAGACTTAAGCGGCGCGAAATAAGAAAAGACTTAAGCGGTGCGACTTAAGAAAAGACTTAAGCGGCGCGACTTAATAAAAGACTTAAGCGGCGCGAAATAAGAAAAGACTTAAGCAGGGCGACTTAAGAAAAGACTTAAGCGGCGCGACTTAAGAAAAGACTTAAGCGGCGCCACTTGAGAAAAGACTTAAGCGGCGCAAAATAAGAAAAGATTTAAGCGGTGCGACTTAAGAAAAGAATTATTAAGGGGCGCGACTTAAGAAAAGATTTAAGCGGCGCGACTTAAGAAAAAACTTAAGCGGCGCGAAATAAGAAATGACTTAAGCGGCGCGAAATAAGAAAAGACTTAAGCAGGACGACTTAAGAAAAGACTTAAGCGGCGCGACTTAAGAAAATACTTAAGCGGCGCCACTTGAGAAAAGAATAAGCGGCGCAAAATAAGAAAAGATTTAAGCGGTGCGACTTAAGAAAAGAATTATTAAGGAGCGCGACTTAAGAAAAGACTTAAGCGGCGCGACTTAAGAAAAAACTTACGGGGCACGACATGAGAAAAGACTTAAGCGGTACGACTTAAGAAAAGATTTAAGCGGTGCGACTTAAGAAAAGACTTAAGCGGCGCAACTAAGAAAGGACTTAAGCGGCGCGACTTGAGAAAAGACTTAAGCGGCGCGGCGCGAGTTAGGAAAAGACTTAAGCGTTGCGGCGCGTTTTAAGAAAAGGTTTTCATGGCGCGGCGCGACTTTAGAAAATACTTCAGCGGCGCGGCGCGACTTAAGAAAAGGCTTGAGCGGCGCGGCGCGACGCGACTTAACAAAAGATTTGAGCGGCGCGGCGCGACTTAAGAAAAGACTTGAGCGGCAAGACTTAAGAAAAGACTTAAGCATTGCGGCGCGACTTAAGAAAATACTTAAGCGGCGCAGCGCGATTTTTGAAATAAATTAAGCGGCGCCGCGCGACTTAAGAAAGGACTTAAGCGGCGCGACTTAAGAAAATGCTTAAGCGGCGCGACTTAAGAAAAGACTTAACCGGCGCGACTTAAGAAAATACTTAAGCGGCGCGACTTAAGAAAAGACTTAAGCGGCGCGATTTGAAAAAAAAGACTTAATTTGCGCGACTTGAGAAGAGACTTAGGCGGCGCAAATTAAGAGAAGACTTAAGCGGCACGAAATAAGAAAAGTCTTAAGCGGTGCGACTTAAGAAAAGACTTAAGCAGCGCGACTTAATAAAAGACTTAAGCGTCGCGACTTGAGAAAAAACTTAAGCGGCGCAACTCAAGAAAACACTTAAGCGGCGCGAAATAAGAAAGGCTTAAGCGGCGCGAAATAAGAAAAGACTTAAGCGGGGCGACTTAGGAAAACAATTAAGCAGCGCGACTTAAGAAAAGACTTAAGCGGCGCCACTTGAGAAAAGACTTAAGCGGCGCGACTTAAGAGAAGGCTTAAGCGGCGTGACTTATGAAAAGA